TTGTAAAAAAAAGCTGAAAACAAACGGTTTTTCTCATTTTGACGAAGATTAGACAATATTCAGAAACAAAAAGTTACTTTTTTCTCTTTTCTTTAAATCAATGTTGAGGGTGAAAAAAAATATTTTTCAAAAAGTTATAAAAAAACCATGTAAGGCGTTTATTCCAGTTTTTGACACTACCCTTATATTTTCTGTGTGCTCATTGGTTGCTGAGATATCGATGATCAAAGACAAATGTCTCAGCGACAAATTGACATAAAGAGAACATGAAAAAAGCAAATTAAAGATGAATGAACAAGCTATCCGGCCCATGCATTGACTTAACTAAAAAAATTCCCCACGTCCGTGAACCAAAAGCAAAAACAAAAAGAAAATGGATTTTTTTCTCGCGTTATTACTTAAGATTACGTGGTAACTGTAGTTTAAAAAATGCCAAAAGTTCTCAAAACTACAAACTTAAAGCTTCAAAACGGTTTTTTTAATCTAGATACGACCATTTTTTGATGAGTTACAGCCTTTAAGAAATGTTTTTGTTCTGTTAATTTTTTGGAGTAGTGTATTTTCAGATTTCGTACATTTGTCGAAATTTTTTCATGTTTGACAAAAATTTAGCTTGTTTGACACTCTAATAAATGATTTAATAATTTTGTAACTGAGAATTTAAGGCCCTCCGCTGTGCGTAGTAGAGCTTTAAACACTTTCAATTTTTGAAATTTCTTATGTTTTACATAAAAATTTTGCTCGTTTGACACTCCAAATAATACAATAATTTTTAATTGAAAATTTAAGGCCCTGCACTGCGAATCAGAATTTAAACGTAAAAATTTAGCTCATTTGACATTCCAAATGACTTATTTCGCAATTGGGCATTTTAAAGTCCACTGTGCGTCAGGCTTTAAAAACTTTCCCAATTTCTGAAGTTTTAACATTTTACATAAAAATTTAGCTCGTTGGCACTCCAAATGACCTAATAATTTCATAATTGAGTATTTAAGGCCCTCCGCTGCGCGTTGGGCTTTAAACACTTTCTCGGTTTTATGCTCGTTTGACACTCCAACCAAAAATCTTACCCTGGATTCATGTATCCGGTGTTCCGCCGAATGAAGAATGATTGTTAAAACTACAATTACGAAGAATAAAGTCGCTATAAGAACAAGAAGGGCTTTTTCTAGCATAGTACGCTGTTTCCATATGCCGGTACCAGCATGGTACCGTATATGAGTCGCACTGGTGCTTATACCTTCGGTTAATTGTACACTATTTACACTATCGTCGTCTGTGAAGTCAGCGTGTGTATATCGAGTCATCTGAAAAAAAAATTGATCAATTTATTTCGTAGATTCGTGTTAAAGGGAGATAAACGACGTCAACACGCGCCGAAGTTTGCGATAATTGATTGGAAATGTCAAGTGGGAATTTCCAATAGGAAAAAAGTTCAGAAACCGGAATGGAAAACTGCTGAAATGCTCGAACTTTGATAAACCGAATCGATTATTGTCATCATTGTATGCTAATACTAATAACGAATGAGATTTAAATGAATATTTTTTTATGTACAAAGTGATATAATAGTTACGCAAAAATTTTAAGAAGTGATAAAACAGGTCTACGAAGTAGACAATAAAAATACTGACTTTTTAGTCTAAAAATGGGCCTACGAATACTCAAACAAAACGTAAAAATAACGCTATTTTCGACCCGATTTGACAAAATTTTAAAATATAATTCTGTTTTCGACCAAGAAACGTAGTTAAACGTTCAAAAAAAGTAAAACTAAGTTCATTTTGGTTCAATTTTATCATTCTTCGTTAGCAAAATTTTGCAAATAAATCGAGTTTTTAGAAAAATTACAGCAATTTAGTGTTTTTAGGGGAGCGACGGGTAATTGCGCTCAGCGGTCAATGGTGCTCATGTCATTTTTGGCTTATTTGAGTATTATTCGAATTTGTTCATAGACCGCCATCTAACTTTATAATAAGGGAAGTATCTCGTGCATTAGCCATGTTATTCAGCAGTGAAATATTCGAGTGGTGTTGTTTTGTGTTTTGCGTACTGCTGTTATTACTTCACTTAATGTTTCTACATAGGTTTGTAAAGTCATTTTACATTTTTTTCTTAATTAAAAAAATGGAAATACTGCATCTACACTTGTTAATTACAACGTTATTAACCATTTTTGATAAATATCCGTCTTTGAAGTTATGTCAGTGTTTTTAAAACTTCAATACAATTTGGGCAATTGCGCTCAGCCTGAAATATGCCTTTTTTGCAAAAAATTTGGTAAAAACGAGCTATGGTGTAGGTGTTCTTGTGGAAAGTGGATTCATGCAAGCTGTTCAGGGGCTGATCGTCCACATGGATATATTTATGATAATTGCAAATAAAGTTTAAAATGTTAAATTGTTATCGCAACGTAAAATTATTTTTTAAAAGGAGATATAATCTTCCCTTGCGTTATTTATTAATTTAGTTTCGTTTTTTACTCTCTTGGTGTGCATTTTAAAGTAATAGTTATCTTGTTTCAATTTAACGCCATTGCACTTACTTGCTTACTTACTTACTCAGTTGGTAAATGACGCTCTTTGCGCATCTTTTTTTTACATGTTTGGCTTTTGTTTTGAGGATTTTTTTGGTTTCTCTACATTTTAGTCAACCGATTGGCGAAAACAGAACCATAGAATATTATTATTTCTCTCAAAATTTCAATTTGAATTTAGGTGAGCGCCAATATCCATCGCTCCCCTACCTAACAAAATTTTGCAACATTTGTGAATCAATGCCTGAAAAACGTTTAAAAATGCAAAAATGTCATATTGGTAATAATTAGACGATTTTCCCTTCAGGAACGTCCTTATAAACAAAATAAAAGCACCGTCTTCTTTCTCACTTGGTAAATTTTAAACTTATTTTGACAAGATTTTGAAAAAAAAATGTGTTTTAGACTAAAACACATCTTGAAACACTCAAAAAGGGCAAAAATAACACTACTTTGGACCTAATTGGGTGAATTTTTGATCTATTTCTAATGTCACGAAATAATTGCACTTCTGACTGTGATGTTAATGTAGTGATTTTTGGGAGAAGTTTAACAACATTTTGCAAAAACATGAGGTTTTTTTTCTCAATAATGCACTTAAACACTAAAAAGACAAAAATAACACCATTTTCGGTGTAATTAAAAAAAATTAAGACACACTTTCCACCGAATTTTGCGCAACAATTGCGTTTCTGTCTTAAAACTTGCAAAAAAAAGACAAAAATGACATTACTTTTCAACAAATTTTGTGATTTTCAGTCCAAAAATGTGCTCAAATAATCAAAAATGGTAAACCATTATAGACTTAATGTGGGAACTTTTGACCAAATTTTTGGGAAATAAGTACTTTCTACCGAAAAATCTGGTTAAACGCTTGAAAAAAGCAAAATACAGTTGCTCTTAGTCCAATTTTATGATGTTTTGGTCAAATTTTGCAAAAAACTGAGTTTCCAGCTTAAAAACGTCTTTAAACGTTCACAAAAAGTAAAAATAACACTATTTCTAAGTCATTTTAGTAATTTTCTCTTTTTCCCAATTTTTGTTCTCTTTTTTAAAATATGACGCCTAAACGCTTGAAAAAATCATTTTTATTTTATTTTATATTTGCTAAAAAGTAAAGAAATTTTAATGGTGGTCTTTTTCTGACTTTTGACAATTTTCGTCTACAAATTTCCAAAAACTGTCCGTTTTCTGTTGCCATTTCTAAATTTTCCTTGACTATTTTTTTGCTGACGTTTAGTGACATTGTTTTCAAATAAAATAAAAAATCGGGACTGCCAACATTAAGACTGTCTGACATTTCCGTTAAAACAGACTGTAGCAAAAACAAACTTAAATGGTGAGTATAATTAGCCCCACCAAACAATGTCAGTTTATCATAAATAAAGAGATTTATGTGCATGTTCTGATAAATGAAACTGTCAAAATATTTTTTTAAATTGCCTACACATAGTCTATTTATAAATAGTGATACATATATTCCATTTTCCAAATTTTTTCCAAAAAAATCGCACCAGGGATTTTGTAAAAAAAGGCAAAAAAAAAATAACAGCCTGACATACAAAGCTAAAATTTCGTCAAGTAAACAACACACTACGTTGGCAACATTGTATGGTATTGAAATTTGTCAATTTTCGCAGGCCGCTTTGATCAGAAATTGAACTGATGGTACAGTATATTGCCAACTTAGATAAACAAACTCTTTGCTTTACGTTTATTTTATCGGTTAATCTTTAACACACAATAAAACTCTGATAACTGCTGATAAATCTATTTATTAAGCTTTTATTGCAATATTTAAATTTTGGATTAAATTATTGTAAAAATGTTGCTTATTAGAGTAGCAAATTGACAAATAAATAATTTTGTTTATCGATCGATTAACACTTTGTGAATGCTTCGAATTGAAAAAATTCTCAGAAATATTCAACTGTTATTGAAAAAATTGACGCAACAATAATGCATTTAAATATTTAATTAAGGCTGGCATTGAACAAATGAAATTGAAACTTTTGTTTGCCGATAGATACAAGCACAGCGCACTAGATCAATTATCCCAATTTCGTTTTGCAACAACCAAATTGACCCCGTCGTCGGTTCAATTAAGACAATGGCGGAAACGCGCCGCCTTGTGATAAAAAAAAGATCAAACAAATGACACATAAATACTCACATTTTTCCCCTTAAAGAAAAACCACAATGATAATAAATCGCAGTCGCCTTGGACCGCACCGAACAAAACACTGGCGCGTCTCTAAATTTAACAACACATGTTGTGACGTCAGATGGCGTCGTCGCAAATTTAAGGTTATGTAGAAATCCCCACCACTGACACACAAAAAAGGGATGGGACTTGATGGAATGTGCGCATGTGAATGAGGCTTTACCTTTAATTATTTATTTAATACGCACCTTGACGCTCATCTTTGAGTTTTTCACAACACTGAGAGTTTTTTTGGCACTGGCAAAAAGGCAGTGTCGACGCCCAGCGTTCAAAAATTGCGACGCTAGACGTCCTTCTGCTCGATTATTGATTGGTTGGTTCACAGGATCCTGGATTGCGGATAGGGAAAGCGAGAGCGCACAACTGGTATCGATCCGTTTTCGACTTTGGTTAATTTTCATGCAAATTTGTTTGTTTATTTTGACATCAAACACGAGGCGTGAGGATTGGTGATGTGTTACGAACGAAATTTTGGGGTTTTGTGAGATTTTCAAGGCTGGGTTAAATAACATTCACTTGCGGATACAAGGGCGTGTTTTTTGTTGTTTTTTAATAATATTGAACAAAATTCGGAGAAATGACGGTGCAAAACTGTATTATAAATCACTTTAAAATGCTCTACGAGGAGTAATTTTTCAGATCTTAAATTATCAATTTGACCAAAAACCAAAAATTATTGTTTTTTATTTGTAAAATTAACTGTGCCAACCGTTTTGACCTAGGACTCATATTTTTTGAAATATAACTGTTTTTTTTATAAAAAAAATTAAAATGGCTTTGTACCCGGAACCATAATCCGGAGCAACTCCGAGTTTGCGCCATTAAATAGATCATTTAAAGTTAATTCTGACGTTTTTTTTGTTTTTTGCTCTAAGTCTTAGGTATAGTTTTCGAGAAAAACGCATTTAAAGTTTCATAATTTTGAAAATTTTTACTGTTTAAACGCCGATTACGAAGAAACTAAAAGAGCTAGAGAAAAAAGCCTAACAGATTCGTACTTAGCGCCTCAAAATCTTTCGGATAAGATAGGTTTAAATCGAATCTGAAACATGAATAAATCGCTGTATTTGAGAGGGATTCCCAATTATGATTATGAAATCGGGAGTCTGAGGTTTATAAGGAGGAGCACGAGACACGAAAAGGAGGATGAAACTAGAAATTAGTTCAGGGCGTTTAGTAGATTTAGTAAAGTCGAGTTGTGTAAATCCAACTTTAAACATCCAATTGTTTTTTTAGAGACATATCTATCAAAAATGACAATTCTGAAAAAGTAGGGTTAAAATACTTCACATATAAAATCTATTGCGCCTGTCACGATTGTTGACACAATTTAGTTACTTTAGCTACCAACATAGACACAACTCACACACTAGAGGTGGCAGGCTAGGGGCTGCCAACTTTGCAATAAATTTAATGGCTACTATGAATTGACTGCGACTTTATGTAAAAGTGAATTTTAAATTTGTGGAATTGTTGATTTATTATTTTTGGTTATTTAAGAGTGAAATAAATAAATTGTTTTTTGGTGGAAAATTGGATTTAAAAATCTACTATTTAATAGCATCGGTGTATTGTTAGTTGCCTAGTCAAGTAATTCATTCAAAGTTTTAGCACCCATTACGGCAAACCTAAAAAAATAAAGAGTGTTAACAGATTATTAACAGAATTACAATGTCGTATGAACCATTTTTAAATAATTTGCTATTTTCAGTTATACTTTTTTAACATCAAATAAATCCAAAAAATATTTTTTTATAAGTATTTTATCTTAGTTAGCTGTAAAAATGATGAAAAACAATGTTGTATGTTGTAAAGATAACAATTATTAGAATTACACTTTCGTATGTACATTTGAATTTCATAATGACTGCTCTAATCTTTAATGATTTGCGTACCTCAAAAATTTTTATTTTTTTATATAAAAATACAGAAATAGGAACAACAGCTATGAAGTTTTTAACGCTAGAAAACTCAAGAAATAGACAATGTATATAGTTGCATAGAAAAACTTAAAAAAAGCAGTTTTGCTGCTTTTCTCTGTTTTAGAAAACGTCTACTAAAATTCTTTATAAAGTTTTTGAAACCTCAAAAATTTCCTCAAAGCTTAACGAACTATATAACCAAAAAATTAAAGCCACTAAATCAATGTTGAAATGGATGCCAAAAAAAGACCAAGATTTTTTCAAAATTGTGTTAAATATTTAACAAAAAGCCTCAGCACATAGGTAGTTATCACCTGCAGGTTAACCTAGATAATATTAAGTATTTTAGATCATAATTAATTCAAGTTTTTGTTAGTCTCATTAATTTGTATATTATAAAAGATTGTAAATTTAGTTTCGTCCTTTTACTTGTATTAATTGTTTATCTATTGGAATTGAGGACAAAATAACGAACTTCATTTTTGTGCTGTCGACTAATTCGTGTTTTTTTATTGATCACTTTCTCAATACTAAAAATACAATATTCAAAGACTACATTTACATTATTTAAATTTGGCGTTATAGATGGTGGTGATATGAGTGTGTTGTGAACGGACCACAATTTTTAATACGCTCGGCAAGGTGTTAAATGTCATATTAATAACTTTCAATACGATAGTTCGTTCACAATCAAACTTTCATAGATAGTTTTGACACCAAATTAAAAAAAAAACACCCGTTATTATTTTTACCTTTACACAACAATTCGAAAAGTTGTTTTTGATAAAAATGCAATAAATGTATATATTTTGAGACTAGTTACTACTAGTTTAGAAGTTATAGTCGAATTTATATTTTTGATATTTTTGAATTTATCAACAATTTTTTCGATAACTATTTATTGGAGAACACTGATATTTTTTGTATATGATGATGAAAATTAAATTTGCTGTAGAATGATTTAAAATACAAGTGCCTAGCGCCAATAATTCCAGAGTTATTAGCACTAGACCGCTTCGGATGCCAAAAATTGACTAAAATCTCGACCATTTTAACCTTAAATTTGAACCATACATTTTTTACATTTCTAGAGGTCTTAAGGACTCAAATAAATGCAGAAAACGACATTGGGTCTAGTTTCAAAAATTTTGATTTTTTTGAGTTTTTGAAAGTGAGCGGTAGTAGGTAAAATCGTAAAAATGGTCAATTTATCTACCTACTTTCAGTCGTAAAAATGCTTGAAACGTGATTTTCGAGACGTAAATTACACACTGAATACGATGCAACAAGTTAAAATACTCTACAATGCATACTTTTTGAAATATTGAGTAATAAATTTAACAATAGGGCATGGAGGTAGTATTAACAGGAGGAAAAAAGTGTAAATGCCGCGTAAATGCGCACTGCTTTAAAATATGTGATAGTAAATACAAAGCGCAACATGTGCTTTTCCAGTGGCGTAGTAAAATTATTTTTAAATATAGCACTCAGTATATTATTAAACTTTTCAAATTTTATAATTACGGTGATTTCTTCAGTTTGAATAGAATTGGAAAAAACAAATTTTTGGTGATACAAATTTTATTATCAACATAAACCTTATCCAGTTGAAAAATACATGTTAGTGCTACAAAACTAAAATAAATAATGTAAGATATTCAATAAACTATTCTAATATTTGTCATTTGCATGGTTTTGTCTGCCGTTTAATATTTTGATTTTTTAAGACACTTAATTCTCCTATAGCGAATAAAAAATTTGAAAAATTGGGCTAAGTGCATTGGTGTAGTGCCAACTTGACTATAGAATATATTGTGATGGCTTGAAATACTTTTTGGAACCAATACAACCTAGAAATAACATGATTGAATTTTTTTTTGCTGTGGGTTGGTAATATGTACCTGTTTAGTTTGACTTTGGCACTTGGTAGACTGCTAATGTCGTCTTTGAGCACATATTGTCTCACTCCTAGTGTAAAATCTTTTAGATAGAAATTCCAATTGAAGCCGTTTTCTGCTGTCATGTCAATTTCAAAATTGGCGCCATCTTCAGCATCGCGGACGGCGCTAACCAGTGCTGCCATCGTCGAAGTCTTAAAATCCCATTCGTTGGTCGAAAAAAATTTACCCGCATCTAACGCACTGTAAAATTTTCGGCTGATTTTCAACATTCTGAAATCATTTTTTCACACATTTGATTCAAATTTCCCGCTTTAACTCACATTGGCTTTTGTTTCGTGCAGTATAAAAACACATCTAAGAAGGCCGAAGGCAGCAAATGAAACAAGTGGGCACAGATCACGTGCATCGCACGACTGGTCCGATAGGTGAATCCCGGGTACCACGTGACGTACTTGCTGGGGTACTCTAGCCAATACTTGTGGGTCAAACGGCCGAATTCCTTCCATGAGATGGGATTGGTGGTACCACTGGTACAGTTGTAGACCCGCATGGTATTCGATGGGTGTGCGGCTGTGTGCCATCCCGCTGTTATGATGGTATTGACCACGATATCGACCGGGATTAAGTCCATGGTACATTTATCATCACATATGATCGATTTGATGGTACCTCGACCACACTCCATGAAAATCCCTGTAATCCCACTAACATTATCCACCCATCCTGGATATGGTTCCTTCCACGCAGCTGTAACTAAATTAATTGTGAGGTGGCGTGAGGGGTACCATGATGGTACTTACTGATCGAGGGGCGTACGACGGCTGCTGGGATCTGGGAGGAGCTTTCAAGAACCAAGTGCTCGGCCATGGCCTTGGTCAAAGTATATGTGTTTGGGTGTTTACCCAGAATTTTCTTTGATAAAATATCGATTCCTTCTTTTGGCAAAACGTTGATACTGTTGATGACGGCATTGGGGTCGTGTGGGGGCTCGTAGACCGTTTCATCGACTGTATATTTGTCAGAATTGCTGTAGGCTGTGGAGACGTGAACGAAACTTTTCAAATTTTTCATTTCGCGGCAAAGCTCGAGTACCTGTTTGGTACCCAAGGTGTTGAGGGTGACGGCGTTTTTCAAATCCTCGTTGAATCTAGAGGTAAAATAATATTGATATTGACATTGATACTAATTATGATATTGATATTGAATTAATTTGGAGGTAACAACCAGTTTAGATGTGAATTTTTTAGTTATCGCTTCAACCGAGTTGTCAAATTTTTATTTGGTTTGTTTTTCTCTTTATTCATCTTTCAATTTTGTCTTTGACTTACTTTTCTCCGGTTTTTAATACGTAATTTTAAATTCCTGCGTGAACTTTTGTGCTTTTCCGTTTTGTTCTTTTGTTGTCATTCTATTTTTTTAATTTCTAAACCAATTTTTTACATTTTGAATTTGTTTTGACTTTTGATTGAATTTTTGAGTTTATTATTCATTTCTAAAATGACATTATCAGATGTTGATATTGATAAGGCAATTTTTGTTTTATGGGTTTAAAAATTGATACTGGTTGTGATATTAGTACTGATATTGATGTTGATATTTGATAATTCTGTAAAAACAACCTTGTTAATTTTTTGGTAACAAATTATTGTAATAAATTGACAATATAGGTATTATTATCAAATTTGATGATGATAGTAATATAAATACTGATATTGATGTTGTAATTTTTGTTATACTGAGATAAAAATTGATATTGATAGGACTGACATTGACAAAAATTGATACTATTAATTATACTAATATTTGATAATTTTGTAAAAACAACCTTATAATAATATAATTATTTATAGTTGCTAATAAAAACAAATTATGTAATAAATTGACAACACAGGAGATAATTGATGTTGATATTGACATAAATACATGTAGCATGTGTTGCTTATTATTGTTACTGATGTAGAAATTAATACTGGTACAGAGTGGTTATAAATGATTTTCATCTAGCCAGCTTTGGAATTTTTTTGCATGTAACTTTATTTGTGCCGCTCTACTTTTTTGAAAGTTCTAGTTCTGTCATTAGTGTCACTTATTAATTAATAAAAAATTGTTGTTAATTAAATTTTTATTGTTTCAACTAATTTCTAATAATAATTGATAATAATGTATACTTTGGAAGAAAACAAGTTCATAATTGAAGTCTATTTTCGAAATGGACGCTTAGTAAACGGCGATTTTTTAATTTTGAGTTACAACAAGTAGGTACCCCTATTTTCGTAAGGCGGCATTTTTTATTTTACATGGAAAATTCACAGCTGGCTAGATGAAAATCATTTATAACCACTCTGTAGTAACATTAGTACTAATATTGATGCTACTAATGGTATTGAATATTGATATTGAATGAATCTTGTGGGAATAGATGTTGATATTGACAAAAATACTCTCTTTGACAATCGAGTTGACAATGAAATTTTTGTTTATTTGATTGAAAAATTGATACTGGTAGTGGTATTGGTACTGATATTGATATTAATAGTGATATTGACATTTAATAATTCTGTAAAAACAAACTTCTTAATTATATTCGTAATGAATTATTGAAATAATTGACAACACGGGCATTATTATCATCAAAATTTTCGATACCGATGCTGATATTGATATAAATACTGATATTGATATTGATATTTTTGTTATATACTGACTTCAAACTTGATATTGATAGAACTGACCTTTACAAAATTGATACTAATAATGATAGAGATATTTGGTAATTGAAAATGATATTTTTGTTGTATTAATTTAAAAATTGATACTAATAATGATATTGATATTTGATTGTGTAAAAACAACTTTGTTAATATAATTGGTGATGAATTATTATAATAAATTGACAACACGGTATTATCAAAATCGGTGATATCCGTGATGATACTGATATAAAAACTGATATTCGTATGTCTATTCCAGTTGCAAAAAATATTGATACTAGAAGTAATAGGTATCTGTACAAATACTGCATATTTTGAATTGATACTAATCCTGATATTGATATTAAATTTCAATAATTAGGTAAAAAGAATTTGTATAATTATTATCGTATCAAAAATGGTAGGTAAAGTAATATTGATATTCGATTAATATTGTCATCATTGTCGTGCATATCATTAATAAGGTTGAAATAAAAATATTAAAGAATTATCAAATTATTTTAACATCACTGAAGAAAGTTCGAAATATCAATACTGATAATTTAATTTAAAATTGTTATTATTGTTTTGATGACATTTACTTCTGAAGAACAAACTTTTTCGCAATTGTGTCATAGTGCGAGAATATTGATAAATAATATCACAACAAGAAAAACCCTAAAAACGCTATTAACATCAAGGTAAACGTTTAAATATTAACGCTTATCGTATTCCCATTTTCTTATTAAGTATTGATATTTCTGTCTATCTTTATCATTGGTAATGCAGTATTTTTTCATAAATACTAACCTCCAAATAATAATGTGATTGTGAAGTTAAATTGGTAAAACTGAATTAATGATTGCAGAAAAATTTCCAATGTTACCAACTTAATTTCTCTTTGCTTACTTGACTGTGGCAGCCGAATGGAAAACAATATTGCACTGCTCGACTATCTTCTCCTTATCTCCCTCCGATAGCCCCAAATTGGGGGCTGAAACATCCCCCGCCACCGCCTTGACTTTTTCAAAAGCGTCTGGATTTTTCTCGCGAATCCGGTCAAAAACCGGATTTTTCAACAACTCCTTCAATCTGTGTTCGATGCTCATTCCGCGTTTGGGCCGCATTAAAAGATAAAGACTGTCGAGTTCGTCGCAAGTCCGGAGGAGTTTCTCCACGAGGGCTTTGCCCACGAATCCGGTGGCTCCGGTGATGAAGATTTTCGCATCTTTGTAAAATCCGGTGATGCTGTGGGAGGCGATCTCGGTGTTGTACATATAGTTGTTGTTGAAGGGGTGGGACGAGGGGGTGTAGAAATGTTGTTGCGGTTTTGGCACGCCCATTTTTGGTTGATCTGACGAGAAATGGAACATATACAGGGTGCTTTCATATTTTTCAATTTACAGAAAGTAGAAATTTTTCAAAATAACTGAAATTATCCACAAATACAGGTGCGCCAGAACTCGTGCCCCAGAAAAAAATGCCATATAAGGTAAGATACCAGGAACATGGAAAAAATGTTAAAAAAAATTATCTATGAAAATTTCGAAGTTATGAGGGTTTAAAGTTTGCAGTTTGACTCTATTTATTTCTGTTGGAAAAATAATTTTCCAAGTTTTTTTGCTACAGTCTATTAGAAAAGGAAGCAAAAAATCTGTATTCTAAATTGTAACTCTGTTCAATGTTATTTGTGGCTTTTATTGGCAAAATTTTTGTCCATTTACTAAAAAATTGTAAAAAAATATATACAAGATCATCAGTATCAAATGTTAAATGTCAAAAAATAAATGTCAAAATTTTTTGACAGATAGAATTTTTTAAACATTTTTTTCATGTTCCTGGTATCTTCCCTTACTTGAAAATTTTCTCTGGGGCGCGAGTTCTGGCGCACCCGGTAGGACTATTTTTTTGTTCTGATATACATTTTTAACAGTGCTTTCTAATCAAGTCTTACTTACGGGTGATTAAGATAAGTAATTATCTTACTTTAAGGTTTTATGGATATCCAAATAGTTTTTATTTGTTTTTTACGAGTGAATTATTGTGTGAGCTTCGTACAAATATTTTTTAATTTGTTAAAATATCTTGCAAAAAACTATAAATTTTTAATTTTTAATTTGATATTTAACATATTAAAATTAAAAAACATACAGGCTGTTTCACATAAGACTAAAATAAAATGCAGCACAAAATACACTACATCTACAATACATGTAAGAATGTATTTTATGGCTTCTTATACGAATCAGCTGGTATAAAATATGAGTTTCCAAAAAAAGCAATACAAAATTGCAATGTTTCTAGTTTGATTTATAAAATAGTGATAAAAATTTGAAAAATTTTAATTATACTACCTGATTTTTGAAAACAAAAAGTATATTTATTATTTTTTTTACTAGTTACGAAATATTATTTGTCTAAAAAGCATATGCAGGGTGAATCTTCTAAAAGCATATTTGAAGTTGCATCGAAATTTAAAAGTAAATAAATAATAAATTTTTAGTTTGGAAAATATGTAAAGTGTGAAATAAAAGTGTCAAAAGCTATTTTTATTATTTAAAATAAAATAAACTTACGTGATACACCCAACCAGAAGTTATATTTAAATTTAGCAGACACTATGTTATTATGAAAACAAATTTTTATTTAAATAACATAAAAAAACTTTTGAATTTGTAATATAGTGTTGTATTGTATCGTTGTAAGTTTTATATACATTTCTTTTTATTTAGAGGAGTATGATTCTTTCAACGAAAAACTCAGTTATTTTTAAAACTACTTACGGGGTGTTTTCACGAAATCATATTTTAGTAGCATGTATTTTGTTTTTGTTGACCTAAATTTTAATGCAAGGCCTACTTATGATCCCGGCTTATCCACCCACGTCTACTTTCACATATAGTTTTCCAAAAGAAATTATAAAAAGCTAATTTATGGGAAAATGTCAAGTGTAAAACTTTTCCAATGATCGTCAAAGTGGGACACCAATAATAAAATTCAGTCTTAACACTCCGTTAAAAGTGTGTTTAAATTAAATGTTCCACACGAGTGACCTGTTAATTTCTCGTAAAAGTCGACATTTTTTCCTAATCTTTTAATCATGGCCAAATATTAGGTAGCATTGTTCACAAAACAAACTGTGGTCACGCTGATTTGCAATTTCCAAAATTAAATTGAACAAAAACAATTGACCTTTGTGTGGATTTCTAATATAAAAAATTAATTTTAATTGGCTATTGTCGTCATTCTTGTCTCTTAAATAGCCTTTTCACCCCCTCACAAGTTCCAAATTAGATTTATCGATCGCAAAAATTCTCAATTATTAAATAAGCCGTCATCTAATCACGCCATCTGTCCTCTGTTTACAAAATTTTGATTTTATGAGTCGCACTTAAACCGCACGTGTGGGACACTCACTCACACACTCACCTATTTTTTTCCGAAGAAAAAAAAATATCAAGTCGGCACACTCACCGAATCACAGCCTCCTAGTGCCCGAAGCTTTACCGCGACTGAATTTAAATCGCCATAGATACCATAAACTACCCCACCTGTGGAGCACCTTCTCTCTTTGTCTTTCACGAATCGGCCGACTTTCCACCGCGGTCGAGAAGCTCCGCCCGCTGAAGCGCCTAGTAGGCCATGGAACGGCCGCGGTGGAATTGCACGGATTTTCGACGATCGATGGCACGGCCATTGATTTTATCGGACTTAATAATTAATTTTTAAACACCGATTGGGTGCCGGAGGGGGTGGTGTTTTAAACAAAAAATTATACAGAGTGAATTTGTAAATATGTAGCAAAATTTTTAAATTAAGTCTATACCGGGAGGCTTTCCTAAAACTGTCAAAGATTTTTACAAATGGTTATATAGGGTGACTCTTTTTAATTTTTAATTTCAATTTGCAATAATAATATTCAGGGTGATTCTTTTATAAATTTTCAAATTGTCAGGTTTTTTATTATTTACATACTTATTTTAATGATTCACCTAATATTAAAATATCATCTGCCTAAAACTGACAAAATTTTGACAAAATATTATATCGGGTGGTTTTCAAAAAGTTTAAATTTAATGCTTTGCCCAAATTTTTTAGTTTGCATCGATTTATTGTCTAGTGAAACATATACAGGGTGAGTCTTTTATGCTTACAGAAGTTTAGCATTAAATTTAATTTTTGTTTTATTTATACATATACAGGGTGAGTGTTACAATAAAATTGTATACCGAAAACCAGGACGAAGTTGTATTAAAAAAAAATGTGAATTAGGTGAGTCATTTATTCTCTCTAAAATTTTAAATACAGGGTGTTTACAATCTTGAGTTGCAAATTGACCTAGTAATAGAAGAGTACAGAAATACTGTAACCGAGAAAAAAAACTCACACGGTTTGAGGGTCACTGGAATTTTTTCAACAAAAAAAAATCGTATCCATGACAATGAAAGGAAAAAGTCACTTCATAGTTTTGACACTGTCATCATTTTATTCGCTTTTGCTTTAGTTTTTATCAAAATTCAAAGATTTTTTGTTTAATCTCTTTCAGAGAAATGGTTCCCAATAGGTTTTAAACGTTTTTCTTTTTTTTTTAAATTTATGAACATGGATGGCAAAAAATATTAAAATAATAAATTGGTTGTCGTAATTATGATTTAGAGTGAAACACAAGGTAATAATATCTAATGGCCATTGCTGCAGCCGAAACAGCAGTTCTCAAACAAATAATATAAAATAAATTATTTCTTTTTACACCGTAAATTTTCATTTTATATAGTGTATTAGTTTTCTTCTACCGTAAATATCATCTAATTCAAATTTCACCCTCAGGACGTAAACACCCTGTATTTATATACAAGGTGATTTTTTTAAATCATAAATTAAAATAGAAGAAATAAATTTAAATTGTTTCTGGAAATTTTTTTAAAATACAGAGTGATTGTCTTAAAAGCGTATTTGTTTAAATGATCTCCAAGATATCTTAATTGCACTTGGACTTTGTATCGTCGGAACCACTGTAGAAAGTACGGGATTGTAGGTCACTGGCATTTTGTATTAATTACAATTTTCTACAATTTTAATTAATTAGTAAAGAAATTCTTATTATTCGGCTTATTTAATTAAAAAATTGTTTTATTCAATATTGATCGCTAATTAGGAAACCGTTTTAGAATAAATTTCTTGGCAAAAAATCATGTTAGAGATGAATCCGGTCAATAACTGTCTGTTGAGCCACATTTTCGCCGGTACTTTTCCACAGTTAATTGTAATTTTATGAAAGTCATACCAACATAAAAAATAAATTTAAAACACAAATAGAGGCTTTATAGGTGTCAAAGTTCGAAATATCACCGAGTTCAAGAAAATTTAACTTGGCTTTGATATCAAAAAAATAAACAATATGTAAGTCGAGGTGAAATTAAGTTTTATAAAATCTTGTGTCAACTTGGATTTGGGTTAATCCCAATTTTTACGAATTTTGCGTCAGTGCACTTGAGTGCATCCCAATCTGGGTCAAGGGGTCACGCAAAACTCCTGGTCCAATTCCAACCCTCCACGCCAGCACTTACCCCGGATTTGGTTCACTTGAATTTTCCAAAACTTGCACTTAAAGCCTCAAACTTATCATTTTTTGAACCGAGTCGTCTACAAGCCCACAATGAACTGATGCTGGTCCGGGTGTCCCACTTTTGCGGAAACCGCCGTACCAGAGAGAAAGCAGGAAGAAAGTAGTGTTATGTAACGATTGGTACATGCGATGATCTAGAAGGCGGGGCGMGGGCCCGTTGGGCCCTCGCCAATTTTTCCCGATTTTTTTATCGAAGGGTTGAGGGGGTCTCTTGAGCCCCCCTTGAAAGTCAAATTTTTTTTAATTTTTTCTTTTTGGGCGCAAATGATTTCATGGGTTTTCCCGAATCGGAATTTGGTTTGGAAACGTTGACTTTCATTTTGCTACCGGAAATTTCGAGGGGAGGGCGTTACGCAAGGATTTCTAACAGGTCCGATTCTTGTATTCGAGGCTTGTTTTTTTCGGTGAAAACTTAATGACTGTTATGAAAGGGGGTCTTTGCTGTTCTGAGTATTTGAAATTTTGTTTGTAATGAAAGTAAATATGAAGAAAAGTAAAGCCTAACCTACGCAAATGTAGTATTTTATTTTATGGTCACGGTCAAATATTAAAGCAAAGATTAGGGACTTATGAAATTACAATGCCATTGTAAAGTAATAAACTTTTAATCTATTTCCTTGAATTTAAGTTCGCAATGACAAAAGAAATTGTAGTTTTGCGGAATTTATGAAATTTTTTTCTGCGTAAAGAGCAATGTCCCCCCAAGTGGGGGAACTTTATTTATTGATATTAGATCTAAAAATGCAAAGTCACTGCTATTAAAGCAAAAAAATATAAATATTATTCAACATAACTTGTAATTATTTGAGTCTGGAAACGGGAAAAAACAACAACAATTTCAAAAGTCTAGGGTTCGATCCCGGGTTTGGCCGTCTTTTTTTTTTACTAGAATTTTAAAAAATTAGAGAAGCTGTTTGCCAAAGGAATTTACTAAATGTTTTTTTCTAAGTTTACTATGTACATACATGGTGGTTTAGAAACAACAGGCAAAATTTTAAGTGAGTTAATTGTTTTTTCGGTAACGGTGCGAGTTACAAAAAAGTTTATTAAGACTTTTGTGTTGTGTATGTCCTGATCTAACACCGTGTAAATTTTTTTCTCTAATTTAAAAACCAGCTTGTATAACAATTTTCAAAAGTGCGTATAAAAATCTTGTTTCCGAATCTTACTCACACACTTTGCATTATTTTTTACACGGCCTTTAACACTTGCAAGGCTATTTTTTTAAATACAGAGTGCTCCAGAACTTGCGCCCCAAAAACAATATCAAGAACATGGAAAAAAGATTTAAACAAAAATCTATCTACAAAAATTTTGAATTTATTAGAGTTAAAATTTTGCATTTTGACTTTATTTATTTCTGTTGGAAAAAGAAGTTTTTAAGTTCTTTACTACAGGCTATTAGAAGAGGAAATGTGGAAGCTGTATCCTAAATTGCAACTCTGTTTAATGTTTTTTGAGGTTTTTATGGCAAAATGTTCGTACCTATATTAATTATAAAAAAAACATATACAAGATTATCACTACCATTAAATAGACATAAAAAAATGTCTAATGTTAAAGTTTTTTGACAGGTAGACTTTTTTAAACATTTATTCCATATTCCTAGTTTCTTATCTTACTTGAAATTTTTCGCTGGAGACGAATTCTGACACACCCTGTATTTATTTTATTTAAATTATACCAGTCATGTGGTCTTGATTCAAGGCCCTGTATTAAATAATAAATAAAGTAACACTCTCTTGTTTACTGTTTTTTGCAGAGCAATACCTATTTGTTTTTTGGAGAAATATTTTTGCCTTAACATCCCGTCGATGATCAAGGTTAATAAAATTAATATATTGAATGAAAAATAGGTGTAAAATGATTTATTTTCCATGATTTGCCAACTTTTTACATGTTTTTTATCTTACTTGAAATTTTTCAGTGAAGGCGAATTCTGACACACTCTGTATATCCTACACAAAAAGCTACGTTATTATGTATATTTACTTAAGTACTTAATGTGAATACAAAACGGATTTTTTATTTGCAAATGATAACAAATATACATTTTTTTTCAATTAAAATTGATAAAAAAACTAGACATAAAATAAACTGTGGTTAAATACGTAAGAACAATGTTATCATTGTTTATACTCGAAAATAATTTTAATCGAATTTGTGGCCAATTGATGTCAATTTTTATAGTTTTTTTCTTTTTTAATTAATACCATTGACAATAAACAAAAAATCAAAATTTTGTGATTAGATAAGAATTATAAGTAGGTCAAATGTATGGAAAATTGTAAATCAGGTTTTTCAATTAATATTTAATATTTTGTTTTCGACACGTATTTTGTCACAGAGTGTACTCACATTTACATAATTTGGAAAACATATCTAAGTATATGACAATTTTTATCTCAAAAACTAAGCCTAGGTAAACACATTTAAAATTATAGGACATTTTTACATTAGATAAGACTAATTTTGTTAGCAAAATTTGCCCAAACTTTACATATTTTGGAAAACTAGTAGGTAAGTAACGAATAAAAACACATTTGGAATTCTGAGATAAGTTTTAGCAAACATAACAACACTTGATAACATATCAGTAAAAGCTGTAGGGAATTTGGCAAAAAGAATTTTCAAAAAAAAATCAATTCAATTGTCATTCATTTAACCCGAAAATATTTCTTAAGTGATCTAAAATACAAAAAGTCTAGTACAACAGAAATAGTGTCGCGCGCTGTTTGCGCCACTATTACATTAGGACTGTAGCTCAAAATTTTATTTAATGTTTTGGACCAAAATGAGGCAAGTAAATTTTTTACTTAATTTTTTGAATAATTTTTTGTAAGACTAGTTTAAGGGAATGTCACTTTTGTTTTTCTCAGAAAAAAACTGTTCAAATGTCATTTATTCAAGCCGCAAATATTTAGATTTTTCTCAAATGATTTGAAATAGTGTATGGGGTAGCTACAGCCCGTGGCAGAAGTAGTGTCGCACGTTGTTTGCGCCACTATTATCAGCTGACTGTACCTCAAACTTGTATTTAATTTTTTGTACCAAAATAAAACTCCAAGTCTTTAAGATATTTTATTATTCGGTGATTACAAATATATAAATTTGACAACAGAACGATAAGGATAAAAATATATAAAACTACGGCCTACCGAAAGGTTACAAAAGGCGTAATACCAACATCGGAATCAAGGGATCAAAAAAATGGCCCAAAATCCAATCAGCTATAATCAAATAACAGATACTTCTCTAAACATTTGGGCAACTCGAAATTCGGCACCGAATCGATCAATTTATTCCCGCCCAAAAGCCTCCTCAAAAACACCCTCACTTGCCTCCTCAAACTCAACGGATACTTGGCCAACTCCAAAAGCGTCGCTTTCTGTTCATGACTGATAACTGAGTTTCTCCTAATCATGCAAACATCAAACGATTCGCTAGCTTCGAGCAAGAGGAAAAAAATTGAGTCGCATTTGGCCGAAATGACGTTTTGGAGGGAATTGAGGATGCCGTCAGGATCACGAAATTGCGTTTTCATCACAACTTTGGCACCGTAACGGATAAGGAGGTTGACCACAGCGAGACTAGGGTTGGTATTACTGGCGATATATTCCACTAAGACGGGCCGGAGTTGCGAATTGTGATCGTAGAGGTCGTTGTAGACTTTGAGGTTAGGGTCAGCGCCAGCTTTGAGGAGCATCTGGAAATTGATTGGGTTAGAAAGTGGGCTGTGGGGAGGGGGTGTTACCTGGAGAATTTCGTAGCGGTTGGGGATGTTGTCAGCACATGCAACGTGGAGGGGAGAACCAATGATGGGGGAGCTGCAGTTGACGTTTGCACCTGGAATTTACAAGAAGTTACGCAAGGGTCTACTCAGGGGACTATTTTGTCCAATATCGCGAAAACTAGTCGACGTAGCGGAAAAATAAAAACAGATTTATAATCGTCACGCAATTTTATGTCAAGTAAAGCTAATTTCAAGACTTAACGTTTCATTTGTTAAAGAAATTTTTTTTATGATTGAATCTAACATTGGTAAATTTTTGTTGATATCTCGAAAACTATAAGGTGTAGATAAAAAATAAAAACAGATTTGCAATTCTGAGATAATGTTACGTAAGGATAGACTAGTCTTATTCTGATTTGTGTCTTTGTGTGTAATAAAAAAAATAAATTGAAACGAATTCAGGCTTAATTGATTACTCGTATCAACCAAACTTGATAAATTTTTGCCGATATTTTAGAAACTATTAAACTTAGGTAAAATGCAAAAACACTCTAAGTCAAATAGTTTCACAGAAACTGGTCAAAATAGTAATTACTTAAAAATATTTTTTTAAGAATATACAGGTTGTTCCGTCTAAACCCCACATTAGAAGTATTGGAAGTTGGAATAATCGTATTTATTTGAAAATTTGTACATAGCCATAAACCATTAAATCCTCCCAAATGAAAATATTTTCAAAATGGCGACACTTTCGGTTATACCGGAAGTCAGTCTCAACTTTCTCATTTTTAATGAAAAGGTATATTTTTTAATGCGTTTTTGGATTAATCGGGTTATTTTAAGGGAGTTTTCATCAGCTTTTCCTATACCTAAATTCAGCCGTTTTTGAAATATTTGGAGTTTTTAAAAATTTTTTGGATCTGCATTTTCTATTTTAAAAATCGGTAACAATTTTTAAGATTTTGAATTTGTTTTTTTGGCGTTTGAAAAAGAAAACTTAGATCCTTTTTCTGGTGTTCTCAAATTTTGAAAAAAAATAACATATCCCAAAATTTTAAGGTTACTTTTATAATAATTCAAATACTCAACCCAATTTTTTCAAATGAAATACCCCAATTTTTATTTTACTAAATAGAAGAGAATTTAATTGTACATTGACCTGTATTAACATTCCCTATACGTAAATTTAATAATTTTCAAGTTATGGATTTTTTTTAAGACTACAGAAAATTTATTACTAGCCACACCCGTTTTCACATAGTTTGTTATAGAAATTAAAAATGTCAAAATTGTTTCTCAATAAACGTGGACAGTGACTTATTATTTGACAAATAATGAAAAAATATGGAGAATCAAAGTTATGCAAACTTAGTTATTATTGATAGGTTCTACCATGCGATTATTATTTAAAGCTAACAAGTAAAAAAAAAATTTTTGTTTAATGAACGACATCATAATTTTGTTACACTCTCCATAAATACAAAATAAATTAATTAAATCTAAGTTTGAGTAGCTTTGACTCTCCATATTTTGGCACTATTTGTTAAATAATAAGTCACTGTCGACGTTTGTTGAGACACAATTTTGACATTTTTGATTTCCATGGCAAACTATACAAAAACGGATGTGGCTAATAATAGATTTTCGGCAGTTTTAACAAAAAGTCATAACTTAAAATTTAGGTGTAGGGAGTGTTAATACAGATCCATGCAGACTTAAATTCTCTTAAAATTTTAGGGTTTGTTATTTTTTTTTTTCAAAATTTGATAACACCAAAAGAAATATCTAAGCGTTCTCTTTCAAACGCCAAAAAAACGAATTCAAAATTTTAAAAAATAGCAGAGTTACCGATTTTTAAAGTGGAAGGTGCAGATCCAAAAATTTTTGAAAAACTCCAAATATTTTGAAAACGGTTAAATTTAGGTATAGGGAAGGCTCTCTTAAAATAACCCAATTAATCCAAAAACGCAGTAAAAAATTTAGCTTTCCATTTAAAATAAGAAAGTTGAGACCGACTTCCGGTATAACCGGAACTGCCGCCATCTTGGAAATATTTTCATTTAGGAGGACTTAATTCATTATGGCTATGTACCAATTTTCAAACAAATATGATTATTCGAACTGCCAATACTTTTAATGTGGGATTTAGACGGAACACCCTGTATATTCTTTAAAAAAATATTTTTTAATAATTACTATTTTGGCCAGTTTCCGTGAAACTATTTGACTTAGAGCAAAACTAAAAACAGATTCGGAATCCTCGGAAAATTCTGCGTATGACCCCACTAACCATCTAATCTTTTTAATAAGCTTTAAACAAATATTTTCTACCTGATCGTATCAACAGCTCGACAATCTTGGGATCCCCCTTCAAAATCGCCAGATCCAGTGGGCTGGGCTTCCCCAAATCATACTCCTCGTCATAATTCAACTTCGCCCCTTGCTTAATCATCAGATTAATAATCTCGTAATTCCCCGAAAGCACTGCATAGTGCAAAACAGTCCTGTAGTCGTGCCTCTCATCCGCCATTGCGTTCACATCGGCGCCATATTTGAGCAGAATCAACGCCGCCTCCATGCCCTGAGGCTGTCTCACCGCCTTCATCAGGGGGGTGAGTCCGGACCTGTCCCTGCTATCCGGATTGGCCCCGAATGTCAACAACAATTCCAAAAATTCCAGATCCGTAACTAGATTGATTTCGGCCCCGAAGAAGTACCGCTTGTTGGGGTCGGCCCCGTGCTCCAGGAGCATCCGCGCGATGTCCATGTGTTTGTTGCGGATGGCCAGACGCAAGGGCTCGTCGCATTGCGTCGTCCGGGGGAAGTCCTCATCGGTGTTGGGCCGGTAGTTGACTTTCGCCCCCGAGAGAAGGAGCAGACGGACCACTTCGGTGTAGCTGGGGGAAAGAAAGAAAGCGGTTTTGAGCATTTTGTGTAAATTTAGCGTTGGGAGATGGCCAACAAGCCAAAAATAACACAAAGTCGGTGGTTTTGAACTGGAAATGTTTGTTTTGGTTGGAATTTTGACTGACAAAACGATCAAAATTTGGGATTTTCAACAGAATTGCGTCAGGGCTGGTTGTGAATTTCATATTTGTTTAGAAATGATGTCAAAACGAGTGCTTTCATAGTGTAGTAACATTTATCCAATCAAGGTTGGTATCTTTCATTTTTCTTAGTGAAATATTTTTTTTCGTAGTTGGTTAAATTAGAACTGTCTAATCAAAACTACTCAGAATAGAACAATGATTCTTTTAATAAAGCAGTAACATTTATTTTTGAAAGGTTGGTACGTGTCAAGTTGCTAAATATCAAATGGAAATGATTTTTGCCAAGTTATTATTAAAATGTGTTTATTTATATCTGAATAACTGCTTTAAAAAGTTCAGAGAAATTGGCTTTTCAAGGTTGGTAGTAATAATTCCTTTGTTAATTAAACTTATTATAAAATATGGTTTATTTTGCACGCAATGTTAAAGAGAGCTTTTATCAACTTATTTCAGTAGATAAAGTAGTCTTTTATCGTATAGTAAAATAAAGTAATTTTTATCTACTGTTTATATTTTTTCTACTAATTTCAGTAGATAAAGTGGTCTTTTATCGTTTAGTGAAATGAAGTAATTATCTATTGGTTATATTCAAGAAATTCTGATAGGTGAGTACAAAATAAAACGAAATATTATACACGACGATAAAGATTGTTTATTTACTCGTGAAAAAAGTCCACTCGTGCCTTTGTCACTCGTAAACTTAACCTTTTCACTCGTAGATAAACAATTTCTTTATCGTCTTGTATAATAAATAACTATTTATCATTAAATCTTTGAAATGAATGTTTTAATAGACGTGGTAATGATTGTTTTTCTAAGGTTGGTAATTAACAAACTATAAATTCCCGATTCTTTTGTTGTTAAACTTTAAAAAATCAATCAATCAATCAATGTTAAACAAATATTCTAAAGGCCCTGCAATGTTCATTAGATTTTTATTATAAAAAATTGTTTTTACAATATGTCATATTGAACACTTTTGTGACACCGTTTTTTGCGACATTTTATGTCGACATTTTATGACTGCATACTGCCGTTTTTAAGTGAGAAATTGTTGCAGTTTAACGTATTTCACCGAAACTAATGCAATTTAAGCTATTTTCGAGCAATTTGGGTACCAAATGTGTCAAATGTCAAAAATTTTAACTGTCAAATATAATAGAAAATTCAATTTAAAAAGCGCTCAATAGAAAAAATAGTATAAAAATGCGTGTTACAACCTCTCATTGTGATACTCGTGCATTTGTAACACTCGCCACTGCGTGGCTCGTGTACCTACCACAATGAGAGTGTTTGTATCATTTGTTTTTTAATATACTATTTATTGTTTAATTTAGTAGAAAACACATTTTTGACCCAAAATTGCATATTGTTACTAAAATATTCAAATGAGTGTAACCGAGGAATATAAAAAGTTAGTGAAATTTATTTTTTTAAGGTTGATGTCCTTAAAAGCCACTGTCAAAACATGACATGAAAGATTGTTTCCGCCGACTTTGACTACAAAGAACACAAAACAAGAAATTGTTAGTTCCAATATTGCCACCTTTTATCAGAGCAAAGCAAGCACACCCTGTATATACCCATGTTCCGCTGAAAGGTGAAGGGGGCTGTATCCGCATTCGTCGACAGCATTGACGTCTCCACCTCTTGTCAACAGCAATTGGGCAGCTTCGTAGTACCTTTGCCATACAGCATAATGCAAGGGTCGCAACCCTTGAGTGACCGGTTCGTTGACCTGCAATCCTCAAACCTCAAAATCTTTGCAAACGTCTGAAAAACTTCTACCTTTGCCCCACAGGCGAGCAAGATCCGGATCTCGTCTAGTGGCACCATCCGGATAATCGAGTCGGCGAGTTCCCTCTGGAGAGGGTTGGTAATGCACTCGGTCGGCATCACACCTAGAAAAACTCGGCGTGAATTTCCGCGACCTTGGTTTATTATTAAACGTTTCGACTATTTCCAGAAAGTCATTATGGGGAAACAGCTGTGCGTCTGTTTGCCAACAAACGTAAAAAAATTGGCAGAAAATGTCGTTTCGGCCATTTGGTATCTTACCCAGTGCTCCACTGATGTCCCTTTTTTAACGAAATTTGCACCCAAAGACACAAAACTTCCCAAAACGGGTTCCTCTAGTCGGAGAAGTTGGGATCGTGTACTGCGCGATTGTAAAATCCCGTGGGAAAACTCGGAAAATGCGGGGAAAATAGTCAAAGGGTCTATAGCAAACTATTGCGAAGTAGTTTTTATCAACGATTTTGCGTCCCGACGCTTTAGTTTGGCTCTCGACGTCAAACTGAATTGAATCGTCGACGATTTTCTATTTATAAGCGTGTTTACCCTTCCATGTTGTCTGGACGCATTTTCCCAAATGTCATCGCGATTTTTCGTATATTTACGCAATAGCGACAATGCCCACGTGAAAAAGCAACAACGTGTGTAATGACAACACCGATATAAATATCTCTGAAGGGTGGAAAAGCCGGAAAATTCGATTTTCCAAAAGGAGTATTCAACTGGACGACTAGGAAACTGGCCACTGGCCAAGTACGAAGTTGGGCTTTGTTAGGTGCAAATTTCGCAGTTACGAATCGACAACGAACAGCACGTGGAAACGACCTTTAAACTCAATGACCCCAATTTTACCCCAAATTTGGCAAATGTGTGACAAAGAGGCGACGAATTCCCCACTCTCCTCTACTAAACCATCCCCAAAACCATACTTATTTTTTTATTCGCCCATAAATCATGCCTCCAAAACAAATAATTCAGTTGACAAACAATTTGTTGGATTTGAAATAAAAGGTCACTGCCTTGACCCCAAAATAGCTCCCGACAATACGCGTTGTTTTCGTCCGTAATTATTAAATTGCGATTTATTGGATGGGAGAGACGCAAAATCGGGGTCTATTTGTGGAAATAAAGAAGCTAAAAATAGATTTTTAGCGTTTTGAACTGGAAAAATCAATAGATTAGACAACCAGTTATACAACCCAGTGGCGTATTGGCGCTGAGCCAAGCGCAGTTGTGGGGTTAAAGACACTTTTTAATTAGTGGAGTTTAAATATAAACAGATTTGGAGAAAAAAAGTGAGCCAAAAGTAAAAAAGCGGAACGGTCAGTGGCTTTTTTTGGACTTGACCTTTAATTAAATCTTTTGTATGTTCTAAAAATAGGGTTTTTGTGTGAGTTTTTTGAAACATAAACTAAGGTGGGGGAATTTCTTTAATTATGTTTTTTAAACTTTTAACTGTGGTTTTGATTAAAAATTAACTTTATTAAACGGTTTTTTGTTTTTTAACAAGAAAAGATTCAAAGACGTTTGCAATAATGTATGTATATAAAACAAAAACTAATTTTTTTGTTACTTTCTGTGTTAATGGAAATTCAAAGATGCGCCACTGGTGAATGGTCTAGGGATTTTATGAAAATTCTAGCGTCAAATCTGTCAAACGCGAAATGGCACCATGGGTGTGCCCTAATCCGATTTCACTTAAAAACTAATTAAGCAAACAATGATATCGTTAGAATATTGTATAATTAGCTTCTAATTGTGTATTTATACCCTTTTGTAGTGCAATTACCTCGAACTTATCGTCCAAACTTCGTAATCAGTTACGCCATACCAGGTAGGTTAAGTCATTTGTAAACAAAAATATTTACATTTGAATTCCTCAGTGAAAACTCAAAATGCCGTCGTTGCGTAAACGCGTGTCGAGTTATTTCCGACAACTGAGCTTCCACAACGAGCCTCGCGACAAACGTCACAACATCAACGAAAATTCCTTTGTCACAAAATACCTCCAGGGGTAAGTTAGCCCCGATTCGTGACCCACTTTTGACATAATTCCGTTTCAGTCACGTGACATTACGCGAAGGCCCCCCGATTATCTACGGGAAGAATCCCACCGATTTGCCCAATTATGAGTTGGGGGAGTACGAGACTGGCTCCTCGTCCGTTATCGGGTGTTACACGGGCCCCAAAGGGGGCCTCACAACTGTCAAACGTACGGAGAAACACCTGTCAGTCCCCGACACCGATATCGATTTTATTGATACACAGGACGAGTGTGGTAAGTCGGGGGAAGCCCCTTTTGGCTTAATGACCAGTTCTTGCAGTCGCGCCCCCAGTGAAAAAGTCGCCGAAAAGGCCCGTCGATAACACGACGATGGTCATCAAGGTGGCCGGGCAAGAGTATTGTGTTACCAACCGTACAAAAAAACACAATAAAAGTCACAGTTTAGGGAGTATTTCTGATTTTAATCTGGAAATTGAGACGACGCGAATTGATAAAGAGTTTTACAATAACAATAATGCTGATGAAGTTAAGTGTAAAGTTGGCAGTATTGATGATAGTGGGGGGGTTGGTGATGATAAGAGTGATAACAGAGAGAATTTCGGCTTGGCCAAGTCGAAATCGGAGGGGAATCCGTTCCAACACAAAAAACGAGGAAAAATTATCAAAGTGGCCCAAAGGGCCGACTCGAGGGGTAAAATAGCATGACCGTGACCCGTTTGTTTTGATTTAATTTGATTTAGTTTGATTTAATTAACACTGTTTGTGCATGTTTTTGCTTTGTACGCGTTGTCACGCCTCCGCCAATCAAACCGTTGCAATTCTAGGTGGAGACACCCCAGGCGACGCTTCTTCGTACACCACGCCCCCCGATGACTCCTCCCTCCCCTCCGAATGGACGAAGAAATCCGATCTGGTCTTCGGTATTTCGGACTCCCTCTATGATCGAAATCAAGTCACCGATAACAAAAACGGTGATCCGATCGCCGATTGTTTCGGGATTATTGCTCGCGAAAATTCGGCAATCCTCGCCGTGGCCGACGGAGTCAACTGGGGGGAAAAAGCGAGCATCGCAGCCAAATCGGCCGTCCATGGAAGTCTCCATTATCTCAACAAAACCATTTTTAATGACACTAAACCGTTCGAGCGACTCACGATCAAACCCGAAGAGACTTCGGACGCGTCCGCTGCGTGTACTCGTGTCGGAAACACCCGAGAGATTTTCGTTTGTTTGTTACGAGCGTTCAGTTGTGCCCACGATCTGATTTTGGAGAATAAAGGTATGTTGACGACCCTGACGGTGGCCGTTGTCGTACCGCTGAAACGTCGTGACGGTACGCAACGTTACGTCTGTTGCGTGTGTAACGTTGGTGATACGTTGGCGTACGTCTATTCGCAACGTCACGGATTGAGGGAATTGACCAAAGGCTCCCATGATATCAATTGTAATCGTGACATGAGGGACGCGTTGGGGGCTTTAGGCCCAGTCGATGGGATTAATCCCGAGTTGAGTAACTTGACCTTGAGCATCACAACTTTGAATAAAGGGGATTTGGTGATGGTGGCCAGCGACGGACTCACAGATAACTTTGATCCGAATGTGTGTCGGTTCACTGTGAACAGTCGGTTAGGGGAGGCACCGAAAGTGGGGCGGAGCGAACCGCCAATCAAACCACCGAGACGGACGGTACCGCCCCGGAGGCCGGCCCAAGTCACCGACAACAAGACCAGCAGTTTGCGCAAACAAATCTCTAGTCAGAATAAAGAGGGACAGAAGTTTTCCCGGTCGAAAACAACAATCGAAGTCCGGCCAGGAGGCGGAGTCAGACATCACGTGGCTCGAAACGAAGAGGGGATTCCTTACGTCACGCCCCTGCAACGTTACGAACTCCAATTACTACTCATCGAGGACGTGTTACGTCACGGGATTAGTGGAAGGGATGATCCGTGTACGACTGCCAAAAAACTATGCGAAAGTTTGGTTAGCTTCACATTTAGCATAACTTCGGCAAAGAGACATACATTAGAAGACCAGGATTTGTACTTTGATAATCAAAATGGCGTCCTCGTTGAAGTTTCCCAACAAGAGAAGAAAATACGTAGGAAAAAAGGACTGGAAAAAGTCCAAAATTTACCAGGAAAATTGGATCATGTGACTGTAGTCGCGTGGAACGTCGGGAATTTCACTCAATCGTGCAATTAATGTATTTATTTTTCCACAAAAATAAATAATTTATCCAATAGTTTCATCGCTGTAGCCTTGCGCAATGCCACGTCTCCCCTCCGACGCCATCTTGACTTCATCCCCACCCACGTCACGTTCCAACCCCTTCCACGTCCTGTTGGCTAGGAAACCAGCGCCATGATTGGTGTTGAGGGCGACAGTCCCCGCCTCTTTTACAACAAGCTCCGCCCCTTGGATATTGGACGTGCCTCGGATACGCCCCGTGACCAGACTGACGTCATTTGGATCACTTACGACGTCAGTTAGTGGTCTTGAAATGACGTCATTGTAGTCGTAAGTGAACTCAAGGCCATCGGGGCCCGGATTCAGAGCCATTTCAACGTCGTAAATGGTTACAATTGGTTTATAGTAGTCTCGACTGTCGTAAATTTCATTCAAAGCGCATGTAACGACCACGTAAATGTCAATCTAAACACACAAAATTATTTGCGAATAGTAAATTGATAAAACTTACCTCAGGAAAATTTGCGAGTTTTGCAACTGTAGGTTTGCCAACACTGATTAAATAATATTTCTTACTATGCAAAGTTAGGAGTTTTTTTAACCGTTCAATGGCTTTTAAATAGTTACTAACTCCCAAAGTTCCTATAACTATACCAACAGTATTGCTATCTTTAATTTTTTCAATTACAAAATACCTTCGTCTTAAGACTTTTTCATCTTGTATGTAATTAATCAAACTCGGGGCTTTGTCATTGAAGTAATATAGTGTTTTCGCTGCAATAAATTAATATTTTTTTTATTTACCTACTAAATTGAACTACTCACGTTTGTGTGAAAATTTGAGGTTAGGTAACTTGCGATGGTAATTTCGGCCCCCAATAAACACAACACTGTCATTATTGAGATTTAAATTGTTCGAGTCTATAGTTTTTATCGTGTGATTAGGAAATTTAGCCACAACTTTGTCTAAAAGTCCAGATTTTTGATTAAAAAAAAAACACATGATATAACCTCACTTTTACCTGTCAAATGAATGAAGGAAGTATCCAATAAAATTACGGCTTTTTCGCTCAACTGCATTAAACATTGTTCAAGTGCCCCTAAATCGAGCTCCTCCTTCTCGTAAATATTCAAATACGGTATATTTGCCGACGTTTTCGAGAAACAAACGGGCCCAAAGTGTACGATAGCATCGGTGTTAATGTGGGCCGCGGCCACATAATCGATGCAACAACTACAAAAGAGAGTCAAAAGGAGCCCCACGTGTTTTCCAAGTCACCTTTCATAAGCTGTATCTGCCAGAATATACACAGTTTGGCCGACTTGTTTTCCTAACCTCAAAGCGACTTCCGAGGAGTCTTGCAAAAGATGGTCGGGGAATTGCAGGCACACCTGGGTAAAAAACGATGAAAAACAGTCTAAAACCAAGAAAATTACCTTCTCAAAATTGTTGTCTTTGATCCACTCCGCACAACGCTGTAGTTCGTATACCTCGTCAATTAGTTCGAATTTCGTCGCCGGATTTATCACCGTTTCCACTTGTTTTTCCAAACTGACCGCTTCATTTGTGGAAAACTGCGACATTTTTCGCCAATTTCCACCAACATGTGCCTACGTGACTTCGCACACGGTTCTCCGTTTCAAAATCAATGTCAGAACATTACGCCGACTAGTTAACGAAGCTACGCCACATCTGAACTACTTTTTCAAAAAATTCCAAAAATTTTAATTGGCCGGAAATGGAGCGTTTTCAGTGTCGTTGATGTGATAAACGCCCAATTTCGACTTTCGTGCCACTCTCTATACACGCACCGTAATTGCATTGTTATTAGAATAATTACACGACTTAATCACAGAGGACTGAGAAACAATAAGTGGATTGTGTTTAGTCGGCTGTGATCGGTTGTTGAGCACAGTTCAATTTTTTTTTGGCAATTTTCTTTTGTTACTCCAAAGGTAAGTTCATAAAACATGAAAATTTAATTTTGAAATTAAAAATAAATTGTGCTATTATTATTAACAATAAAAAATATTTTTTAATGCGTAAATACTGACATTTTCTTGTTAAATTGATTTTGCAATTGTAATTTTTCCACTTTTTTCAGCCGAAGTGAAGGGGTAAGAAAATCCTTGATGGCTGTATAACTGGTTGCCTAAGCATGTTTTTGAATATGTGTAGAGACCGCCGGACCGGTGAGTAATTATTTTTCTTCTAATTGTAATTAAATATTGTTGCTACAATTAAACCAGAATCGAATTACTTGGATTGTTACGTCGCAATTTATTGCCTTATCTCTAAATATTTGGAATTAAATTAATTAATTAGCTTGTTGATCACTTAACATTTTTATTTAATTTGCCTCACATTTGATGTAAATTTATGCAAAAACGCGCAATTAAAATTGCTCTTAGTTTAATTTTTTCTCATTACCTTTCAGTTCCTGTTTATATCTTCATTCATTTTTCAAAGTCACCTAAATTCGGCCTCTAGACTGACTGCTCCAAGGTGTTAAATCCACTCCATTTATTACTTCTCAAAGTATTTAATAAACCTTAATAAAACAACAAATTGTTTTAAATAATAACTAAATTGCTCAATTTCGGTAACCTGTTCGACTCGTCGGTCGAAAGTCCGAGATTTAGACGTAATTTTCTGGTTTTTATTCTCGAAACATTATGTAATGGAAGTTTTTCACTTCGAAGAAGTGACATTTGACGTGCGAGCCGGTCGTTAACCCCGCTACCAACCCCGCAAAAACAAAAACCCTAGTCCATTTATTTGGGATTATGCAAATCAAAAATAAACAAAGTTGTTTACAATTATGTAAATTGGCTCTAATTAATATTTTGTGTGCAAAACGGTTGTTTAGCAGTTCGTTATTTCGTATTAATCATTCGGTACGTGATTAATCATTATTGTTAGAACAAGAAAGTGCAATAGAATTAACATACAATCAGATTTTGCTCAACATTATTATCGCAATCGCGCGAAAAATTCTTGAAATAATTCTGAATTAGTTATAATTACGTAGCAAGTTCCATTATTTGGCTAATCGCTTGATTATTCATAACGAGTCATTTATTACAAGAATTGTGACGCTGGTCGATTTATAAGAATTTGCGACGAAATAATTAAATTAAATTATTTTTTTCGACTTTCAAATTTAACGAGTTGGAAATTTTTAAGCAAAGGCTTGGCTTAGGGGTCAGAGTGCGTAGAGAATGAACAATCGTTAGACTTTATACTGGGCGTTATAAAAAAAGAAATTTTATGTCGGCTATAACTTTATATTTAGAAAATGAATTCATAAAAATGAGTGAAAATAAATTATTTCTGTGAAGAAATTGAGTGAAAGTAGGCAAGACTGCCATAATTTACGAAAACAAGCCGATATTATTATGGAAAAATTTGGTTAAATCTGTTTAAAATTGACAAAGTGACACAAGTAAAAAAAAGTAAATTTTATTTACTCGTCACACTGTAATTACCAGTAATTATGATAATTATCAATTATAATTAGTGCTTAATAAAAAATTACTTTTGCAGTTGTAAAAATAAACATCTCGTCTTTTTTTGCTTGACCGTGAAAACTGGAAGTTGGTCATCTTGTTTTTCAGGGTCGATAGTAAAAATTTTGATTTTTTTGGCCCAATCGACCTCGAGCGACCCGTCTCGAAGGTCGCATTCTTCTTTTCCATAAACATTTCCAAAATGATATTCGATTATTATTCAGCGCGTTTCCTGCACGATTTTCCCATTACCCTTGGTCCATTTTCGCGTCACCCTTCAACGTGCCGCGCATCGAAATTTCGAAAAATTGTTTCAGCCTTGACGCCACTAAGACGTAAACAATTCGAAATTTCCAGCAATTGCACGCGTCGAGACAATTAATTCCGACTGTTTCCGCGGTGATTATCATAATTGTAGCGTTTCCGGTGAAAAGTTTTCGGGAGACTTTGATGCCGGATCGCACGCGAAACTTTTATTTTTACTCGTAATGGACAATGAATTGTGGTACCAGTGATGGTAATGGCGTAATTGCGGTTGGAGTACACCCATTATGGGTTATTTTATGGTTGCGGCGATGGGTGACGCCGAAATTGGGCGATTTCAGTGAAGACTCCAACGCTGGGTCAAGACACGAACCCAACTATTTTTGAAATTATTTATTTTAATCGAATTGCGCATTATTTAAAAAGTTAGTCATGAAATGTGTCATTCATTTTTTTGATAAAGTGGTGACAAATGAGTTAAGAGTTATTGTGATGGGCTTTCAAAGTGGGTAAATATTGTCAAGGTGAGGAAGTGCTAATTTCGCAAAACAAACTTTTCTTATGTACAAGATAAATTTGTTTTCTTCGTTTTAACGGAACTGCGAAGATGAATTAATAAAAATCCGGGATTTATTGTCCGGAAAAATGCTAATTTATGCGATGGGTCATCGAACGTTTAAGCCAATTTAATTGTCTTGTTTTCAGTTAAACCTAAGAGTTTCCTCAACTTCTTAGAAAATTTTCTAATCTATTTCGGACCCAAATTCAACGGAAAGTTGATGACCATTAGCTAATCATCTGCTTAATGCTTAAGTCAACACTCTACATAATAACCTTTTATTTTTATTTAAAAAAAATGTGAAATAAATGTTTTATGAGCCTTAAAATATGAGGTAAACAAGTAATTGTCATTTTATTTCAGTCGACTTAATTAAATTAAATTCTTTCTTTAATTGTAATTACGTAAATCGTGATTTATTAACAATATTTTCCATTTTTATACATATTTGTTTTTGTAACCTTCACAACTAAAAACAAATAACGATTTTGATGTTATACGGGGTGGTTTTTACTAAAAGCCAATAAGGAAAAAATTGTTTTCATTTAAATCTTGTATAATTTTGACAACCTGAGTCTTACAATATTAGTGATTTTATCAAATAATAGAAAAATTAGAAAATGTAGTTCAGTTGTCTTTGAAAAAAACAGAGTTTTTTTGTGCTGTTTCATCTAAATTTTTCAAAAAATGTGTAAACACACGGTTAATCTAATAAAAGAATAATTTCATTTTGTTGATTTAAGTTTTTTAATGACATTCAACCAAATAGGCAAAATCTAGACACTTATATCTATACAAAGTGCGCCAGAACTCGCGTCCCAGAGAAAAATGCCATGTAAGGTAGGATACTAAGAAAAAATGTTAAAATCTGTAAAAATTTCGAAGGTATGAGAGCTTAAATTTTGATTTTCCACTTTGACTCTATTTATTTCTGTTGGAAATATAATTTTCCAAGTTTTTTTGCTACAGGCTGTTAGAAGAGGAAACAAGGAAGCTGTATCCTAAATTGTAATTCTCTTTAATGTTATTTTTTATTGGCAAAATGATTGTACTTTTACTAAATAATTATAAAAAACATAAGTATACCTACAAAATGATCAGTATCATTATTTTATTTGAAATTTTTCTGGGGTACGAGTTTTGACACACTCTATAGATGTATAAAGAATTAATCTCAGAATAAATTTTGTTCTTTAAAAAATATTAATTTATTTTTATATTTAATGAAATTATTCAAAATGTAACAATACAGGGTGATATTTATAAATACAATAAAAAATATGCATATAAGTATACAGGATGAATCTTGTCAAACAATTCCCAATTTTGTTAAAATCGATCTAAAAAGTGAGCAGTTTTTAGTAGAATTTTATGAAAACACCATAACGTGATTCCCTTCAAATAATTATTATCAGTAATAAAAATACAAAAATTGTATAGGGTGAGAATATTGTTTCAGGTAATTCCTTTTCAATTCTATTATAAAAATTGACAAACATATAAAAATAGATAAATAAAATTAAGAAAATTATACAGGGTGGGAATTTTAAATTAATTACTTTAATTTTGGGAAAACTACCAAATGTCGTACGGGGTGATTCCTTTTAAATTTGATTAAAAATTGACAAACATCTAAAAATAGATGATAAAAATACGAAAATTATACAGGGTGAGAATGTTAAGTGAATAATTTTAAAAATGGACAAACATCTAAAAATAGAACACAAACAATGGATGCGTCCAGGCGGAAGTTCAAGGTTATAAACATTGCAGTACCTGAAACTCCCTTGGCTTTCACTGCATGTTGAAACCCTATCCAAAATTCCACAAGGTCGCAACTTCTGAAAAATCCACGTTGTGTGGGGGGGAGTCCCCCCTTGCGAAAACCAAGAGGGGATCTAGACGGCATACCTGAAGACTTGATCAGGTGTAACGTGCCGTTAGCCTCTCAGTTGGCCGTGGTTACTCTATATGCGCGTTGCGCTTTTGTTTCATTCGGCACCGCCTCTCGTTTTTTTCCCGAGTGTTTCCACCACTGACAAGTGACCGAAGAAGTGGTTGTCAAAAACGGTACGCGATCGTCGTTTGTTTAAGGGATGATCGTCTGTTGTTACGTTTGGAGCGATTTGATTGGTTGCCAGGCCCAGAACCGGCACGGTAACTTTCTAAATAACAAGAATTGTTGCAATATCGAGGCGATATTTGATAATAACCGTTCCGATCTTCTTTTATTTTTCTATTTAGTAATAGTAATAATGATAAATGCGTGAGCGAAATTTAATTTCGGATCTAGTTGGCTAAGTTTATAGGTTAGTGTGACTGGATAACGATTTCTACAATTAAAACAATTGACGAACATTAAAACCGTCATTTGTTAAATTTCGTGTTTGTGAACTGGTTTTGACGTAACGACAGACGAAGACCCCACTACTTTTAAATTCCCCTTAAAGTTTGATTTTTCGCATCCAGGGCCAACCCGGATTAAACATGGAGTAATAAGTGACGGTGTTACCCCTTGCCTTAAGTGTAGTGCATAACCTACTTGATTAAAGACCTTTAAAAAATTTCAAAAAAATGAAAGGAAGAGAGAAACTTTGTGCAAAACTCAGCAGCGCTTTTCTGCGAAAGTGGTGTAAGTATCGCAGTAGGCCCTATAATATTTTGTTTCCGTGTTTGTCGAGGTCGTTGACCCAATTCATTGGCCACACGTCGGGCGCCAATTCTCACGGTTTCAAGAGAGATGAGTTGTCGCAATCGTAGTGTGCGTGTGTTTGGTAAAATAAAACGCTTAAGTAAGCGATGATGAAAGCTGTGACCTAAAAATGGTGATGTACCGATTTGAAAGCGTCGCTGCCTCCCCTCCGGCGGCCATTAAAGGGGGTGGGAGGCCGATTGACACTTGATCTCGCGGCTATTATGTAAAGGAAAAGGAAGTAACAATCGAATTTTTCAAATTTTCGTTGCGTAAGAGTTTCACTTTGCTTCCCCTCGAGCGCCATTTTGTGTGTATAGTGTTGTTGATTGTTGTGCGAAACTCTCTCTTTGATTAAAAATCATAACGAATGTTTGGTGTGTGATGTAAGAGGTTTTGCATAGTTTCGTGTAAGCAGTTTTCATTCAGCAATATTATTATTATTGTTTGTTGGGTATTGATAGTCGAAGGTCGCTGTGATAAAAATACTGCCGCAATTAGTGTAATAACTGTGACGTCAGGGGATCGAGCAGTGGCGGAGGGTTTTTGGAAAACATTTATCAACATGGAAGTACTTTAATTTACAGATTTGTCAACAAGAAATTACCACTTATTGAACTTTTAGGAAAATTACGTTTTTCATGTTGTTTGTAGCTAATCTAAATTTTGACACTGGTTACGATAACTTTTGTTTGTCATCAAAAACCAACCTAATCAAATTTATGGCAACCTATTCACGAATATCCCTAAATCCTAGGGAGTAATTTTTTGTTGATACGACAATACATCAGTACGCGCCGATTAAGGATTCGTCTCAAAACCACATCTTTATTGACGTGGTAGAACCACAACTCTTTTTGATCCAAAAATGGTGAAACATTTTGTCATCATGTACGTATTAGATATTATTTAGCTTATTTGAAAACAGAGCAAATGTTGCAAAAAAAAAATGAAATGAAAATTTTCTTTCTTATTTGATTTTTATTTAAGCCTTTTTTATTACAAACTCTAAATTTTCATTGGTACGCAAGACTCTATAGGTCTCAGAAGTGATAAAAATTAATTTATTACAGAATTTTAATAATAAATTTTATAAAACAAAAATTAAAGACCAACTATATCGATAAAGTTGTAGAAACATGATTTTTTTTCTTTTTGCGTTTCTGTATCTCATATTTAAAAGACAAAGACAAAATGGAATTACAATACAGGGTATTTCATAAATATGGAGCAATATTTGAACTTCAAAAATGACCAATAAAATAATGTTAATTTAAATAATTCGTGTCTACAACTCTACTGATAAGAATTTTACTGCCCTCGGAATGTGGGTATTGAAATTTGTTTATTAGTAAATATAGTAAATAAATAACTGAAATAAGCCGCACCATGTCGATAAAGTTTTCGTTTTTCTTTCCCCGCCACTGAAGTCAAAGACCAAACAAATATTTAAAAACACTTCTCTCACCTTGAAAAAATGCAAGGCTAATATGACGGATTGTTTCTTATTTTTATTCAATATTTAGATTCTTTAAGGTTAATCCAACCTCCCCTCTATTTCGGTCTTTCGCTTGACCATGTGTCAAATGACAACCACTTTGTTTTCTAGGCAATCTTGTTACATAAATCTCGTATTTCCTCGTTGAATTTAAGAAAAATCCGTCACTAATTAATCAAAAATTTCCACCGGTCATTATGTAAATAATCTTGTCATTTCCTTGACATCCAAACCAGAATTGTTGCCATGGTGCATAAGAATGGCGTCAGAGGGGAGGTAAAACACTTGTCGCCTCATGTAGGAACAAACTTCAAGGGTACCAACTTAAGATTTTGTATCAAAATCGACGAGGTCACCTTTGAAAACAGGTCGGACGACCCCTAACACCGCCATTTTATTTGTTTTCAGGGTTCGTAGTGGCGGCATCTGTCGGGATAATTCTCTTTGGGGTCATCGTTATTATTTTCTTCTCGAGTTGGGTGAATTTAGTCATAAATCACGTAAGTAACCTTGAGACTTGTATCAAATGTCATTTTTTCATTTTTTTGGTTTTGTAGGAAGTCACGTTGAGGAATGGTTCCCAATCGTTTGGATGGTGGGCCAAACCACCCGTCGTCCCCATGATCAAAGTGTACATATACAATGTGACCAATGCTGATGAGTTCCTTAACAATGGGTCGAAACCCGTTGTGGACGAGTTGGGGCCTTACGTTTACGTGTGAGTGAAAGTCAAACACTCGGTATATTTTAAGATGAAAGTGGAGAAAGTGATGAAATGGGACGCGTTATATGATTATGAAATTAAAAACAGGTTATGTAACTTCTCCTCGGGCCGCCATTAAGAGGGGTGTCACGTGTAGTCTCCCCTCGAGCCGCCATTACTAATCAAACAATGAAAATCGGTGATTCCGAAGCAAAGCATCATCGGAATGTCCAAGTAGGCGAGGAAAAATCCCATTCGAAGTGAAAGTCGATAATCAAGGAATTTATGCAATTTTCTTACTCACAAAAGAGCAAATATCACATCTATTTATACATTTTTTGCTTTTTTCGCGTTATATCACTAGAAAACTAGAGCGAATTCGACCAATAATTACACATCTAATTTTTCGTAAATTATCTCTAATTTCGATTAAGTAACACGAAAATTATTTTCAAAGAGAATGTCCACTGAAAACTGAAGACAAACAAAAAAGTGAAAGTCGCACTGCAAAGTGTGAAAATTAAAAATTTGGTATATAATTGTTAGATAATTGTGCTTAAAAAATACTACCAACTGTAATAAAATGCGTATCTCGTGCAAGTGTGTTACATAAAACCGGTGATTACTTGTGTAGCAAAAATGGATTATTTGACCTGTGCTCGGTGTCAATTTATTTAACTTTCGTTCCGGAGAGATCAAATTTTACTCAATTTTTTGAGGGATTTTAAACTTCCCCCTCAATTTTCAATTGTGTAATCCTAAATGTCACAAAAACATAAAATTCATTATGTTTAATGCCAGAAAAGTGTTGAAAACATTCAGAAGAAAGCAGGAACGTATTTGCTAAGGTGACATTAAGAATCATTAGATACTAATTATTGTTATTAAATAATTTTAATTAAAATGTTACAACTTAAAAAAGTAAAATAACTAATGAAACGAGTTTTGTCACCATTTTTGAAAGTCTTGCGGAATTTTCAACGGATTTGTGTTAATTTTGCATATTTTGTTCTTCTTTTAAGTACAGAAAGTGTAATTCCAAATTTTGAATAGAAGAAAATAAATAGTTTCATACACCAGTTTTTTCTTCTATTTTCAATCTTTTGTTTAAAATAGTCAATTTCTAACATTTTTTTATAACAGTAATATTAATTTTGTGTTTTTTTTTCAATTTTTTTTAACTAAAATTTTTAATGGGAAAGAAGTTGGTTGGTAGCACCGATACCTACGCTGAACAATTTATAAAACATAGTTTTTTATTTCACCTAATTTTATTTTTTTGACGTTTTATGATCAAATTTGGGAAACAGTTTACTTATTTCAAGTTCAGGTTACAAAGAGCTAACGACAGATAAAGACAATTTCCAAGGTTTAAAAAAATTTACATTGTTCAAAGTGTAATTAGTTCGATAATTTTTTTCAAGTTTAGATTAAAATAAGGTTTGCATGTGTTACATCACAGAACTCAGAAAAAATGCTCTTTTTAAAAATATTAAATTTGATCCTTCTTGCCATTAAAAAAAATCAAGTTAGCCTTGTATCCCCAGAACAAATGGAGATAGAAGTTTGATAAACATCTGAGGCGATGAAATTTAAATACTTTTAAGCATATACCAAATTTCAATAAGTTTTAAGGAGTAGTTTTTATAATATTTAACTGTATACATACTTTTTGGCTACCCTGTATATATCAGGTGAACAAAAAAGTATGGAACCAAACGTTTTTTTTGGTTAAACTAGTTATTTTTGGAAAAAAAACTAATTAGTAATTGAAGTATTATAAAAATGTTATGTTTTTCAAGAATAAAATGTTTCAAAATTTTTGTTTTATTTTGGTGTTGGCAAAATTTTTAACGTTTTTAAATGGCAACTCTTTATAAAACTTTCTTTTTTAAGGGATATGATCTAAATATTATAATTTATAAGTATCTACATTTTGTTCAAATTTTATCGAAAATATTTTCATACAAGTTGCAATTTTCAAAAACAAAAAATGCAATAACCCAAAGAAAACAAAATTTCATTCTCAAAACACGATCACATTTTTTATAGCACTTTAATTTTTATTAATTATTATTATTTTCTGAAGGCAAATAACACTTGTTTATTCTGTATATAGCATAAATAAAAAAACAACTGCACAAGTAAACCACTTAAAAATTGGACAAAATGTACTATTTTAGTCGAATTGGGGTCGGTTTATACAGGGTGATTTTAAAAACGACAGGTACTGTAGCGTTTTTATTTATGGCCCGATTTCAAAAATTAGAAAAAAAAAATTAGCTTTTAATAAGGTACTCGTATAAGCTGAGAAATTTAGATCTTTTCTAAATGTCATACATAGTATATTTTGGGCTATATTCATATTCATAATTTGGAAGGTATTAGTTTTCTTGGTATAGACATGTTTTCCTACAAATTATTGTTAAAAAAAATTTCAAAGTAAAAAAAATAATAAAAGTCTAGTTGTATGGTGCCAAATAAGACAATGTCATTATTGTAATGTCAAAAAGCAGCAAATAAAAGAAAATATTGGCAATATTTTTTCTTTTAAATAAGAAATTAATATGAATAATAATTACGTATGTATAACAAATCTAAAAAAAACATCTAATTTAGTGTTATCAATTTATTTTATTATTGTTTATTTATTTTGTTTACTTTTAATAAGAATATTGTTGACGTCAATTTTTTTATTGACACGACACCATGCATTAGATTTTATAATTTTTTTAACTTTGATAATCTTTTTAAACAATAATTTTTAGTAAAAGTAGAAAATATTGCATATGTCTGTACCAAGAAAACTAATATCTTCCAAATTATGAAAAAACAAAAAATGGGTCCCTATTTAATATTTATTAGAAAAAAAATAAGATTATACTTATGCTATATTAAAAGTCATTGAATTTTCTAAATTTGTTGTGAAAAATTAATGTACGATTAACCCATGAATCTGAGCATTTGGTTGGTTCAATTTGGTCAAGTGATCAGTGACATTTGATGGCATTTAACTATAATAGCGCTCCTATAAATCGACCCTGAGGGGTATTTTGAGGGGTGCGGAAACTCGATTCACCTGATATAAACGAGAAACGTATTTTAAAAAATTAATATATTTCTTGGAATAAATCCAATTAAAATGCTCATTTATTTCTCAATTTTCTCTGTTATTACGAACCACTTTAGCATTTACATAAAACATCATCTAGAAATAACAACCTTTTACACATAATAGCGTCCCCGAGGCTCACTCGTATTTTTTTTTCCATTTTAGCGAAAAATGGGAGAAGAAAAATATTAAATTCCACGATAACGGCACTGTTTCCTTCAACCAGGAAAAAATCTACACGTTCGACGAGTCTTTATCCGCTGGCCTTGAAGATGACGTCGTGGTCGTACCCAACATACCCATGTTGGTAAGTCTTGATTGATCAATATTTGACGAGTTTTTCGTGTAGACTCATTAGAGAACACACACGTGTAAGCCAATTAAACGATTGCGAGGTAATTAGTCGCGTGTTTTTTTTTCTCTCGAGCGATTGGTAGAACTGGAAATTTAATTTGAGACGATCGGAAACGCATTTAGATCACCTTGAAAGGTGATTGGTGGAAATTGCGGGTTAGGAGAACACCAACCGAAATTTAATACAGGGTGCACCAGAACTCGTGCCCCAGAGAAAGGTATGACTATTTGTCAAAAATAAAAATGTCAAATGTCAAAGAATAAATTAAATTTTTCTCTGGGTTGCGAGTTCTGACACCCTGTATACTGGGTGACTCAAAGAATATCTAGAGCACCGATCGATCGTCAAATTTTTTGTCGCATGCCTACTGGATTGCACAAGAGTGAAAGTTTCGCAATTGTTTTATTTTCCAGAGTGCTACATCTCAATCGAAGCATGCCGCGAGATTCCTTCGACTGGCAATGGCCAGTATCATGGACATCTTGAAGATCAAACCTTTCGTCGAGGTGACAGTGGGACAACTGTTGTGGGGCTACGAGGACCCCCTTTTGAAGTTGGCCAAAGATGTGGTCCCCAAAGAGCAGAAGTTGCCCTATGAGGAGTTCGGGCTCATGTATAATGTTGGTCAATTTTTGTTTTGTTTATTTTTGTTTCATTGGGTTTTTTTTTTGATAGAAAAATGGGACGTCGAAGGATACAGTCACCCTGTTTACCGGCGCGTCCGACATAACGAAATACGGGTTGATTGATAAGTTTAATGGGCAGTCCCATCTCACCCATTACACGTCCGATAAGTGTAACAGCTTGATGGGTTCCGATGGGTCGATTTTTCCACCACATTTGACCACGAACAGTACCATTTATGTGTACGATAAGGACTTGTGTCGGATTTTGCCTTTGGTGTAAGTATTGTTTGATATAATTTTTTGTGTTGAAAAAAGTGAAATCCAAGGTTGGGAAGAAAGGTGAGTTAATGAGTGGTAACTGGGTCATTATAAAACAATGAAAGTATTAGAAAACGTGAAATGAATAAATGATGGAAAAAATTATGCATTTTTGTCATTCAGTTTAGTGCAAAAATTGAAGGAAAAAATCGTAACTCACTTGAAATGCATTTCTGGCGATAACTCTGGAATTATCGTTTGTAGAAACTTGAGCTTGATAGCGTTGGAAAGCTTGGATTATTTCCCATCTAATGAATAAAATATTTTTGTTCTGTGGCGGTTAATCGCCGTGCAAATTGCGGAAATAGGCGCAATTTAACGTTTTCTATACCAGGTGTATCAACATTTATCCGCAACATTTTTTTCTATTTAAATTAGAATTGTGAAATGAATATTACACTGAATTGATAGCTAGTTTTATTTCTTTTGTGTGTTTTATAAAAATTAAGTTTGGACAAACACTATTAGAACACTTTGTTTTTTAAGCATTTTGCCTTGTTTTTAAGGTATCTTTAAAAATTAACATTTCTAAAGATTTTGCCCTGTTTCTTAAGGTAGAAGGCATACTATACAAACTTACGCAGCTAACGATTTTAAAAGTACACCCTGTCTATGCAATTGATCTAAAAACTATACTTATTAATGAATAGGATTATACAGGGTGTTAAAAAAGATTGTAAAATATTTCAGGAGGTAATAGTATGCATCAAAACAAACAAAAAAGTCTTATTAAACATGGGTCCGCAAAGTAACGGTTTTGGAGATATCGAAAATTATCCGTTTTTTGAAACATTTATTTGCAGTTTGTTTGAACAAAAAAGAGAAACTTCTAGTACAAATTCTAAAAAATTTCATATTCGATATCTTCGAAACCGTTACTTTGCGGACCCATGGTTATTAATACTTTTTTGTTTATTTTGGTTTTTACTATTATACCTTCTTTAATGTTTTACAATCTTTTTTTAACACCTTTTATTCGATTTTGCTCTGTTTTTTAAGGATTTTACCCTGTTTTCAAAGGATTATTTAAGAAAACAAATATTTCAAACCATTTCATTTATTTGTACGAAAGAAAAATAATTAATACTTAGAATTAAATAAAAAAAAATACACTACATACTTAATGAAATAATATATTTTGTCTAAATCTTTGCGAAACAGATAGTGTGAGGTCTAGAAGGGGGCTACCTATAATTCCTATACAACGTTTTCCATAAAATGTATTCCATAAAATGTCTAAATGCAACTTCAAACTCTATTTTTTGCGCGTTGTTTTCGAAAATTATCAACACATCTGACTTTTGAGCCTCTTCAAAGAAATTTATTTCAAATTGGTCTATGATAAGTTTCTATTTCTTCTCTGAAAATGGTCGATCGATAGAGTTGCAATTCATTTGTCTCATTAGTTTCTCTAATAATTATAGCCTGGGCTTCGGTGAATGTTATTTGAGCCCAAAAAAGGGGCACACCTTTTACGATTTTAATACGTGCTAAATACGATATTTTTATAGTTTTATTATGCTTTTTGACACGTTTGCGGCATGCTTGCAACTGACGAAATTCGTCAATTACCTTTTTTAAATCCATCTTAACTAAAATAAAATTCTAAATATTATTTCTCATCTTTGTTTTCACAGGTACCAAGACTGGTACCAGTAGACTTACCGAAGGTCTCGAACAAAACAACTAAACATAAACAAGCGAAGCGTTGGTCATTGGTGCGCAAACTCAGATGGACTCAGTATTGCCAGATCGAAAACATAAAATTCACCAGATCCGAGTTGAAAAATTCACTAAATTTTCACCAGATTACAATTTGTAATCGCAAAAAACGCAGTTTTTAGCCTGAAAATCCGCTTAAACTCTTGAAAAAAGCAAAATTGACATGCATATGCGCTTAATTCTGTGATTTGTTGGCTCGTTTTCAACAAAATTTTGCGAAATAATTGCGCTTCTAGCTGAAAAACGTGCTAAAATGCTTGAGAAATGCAAAAATAGTATAATTCTGTGGTTTCTCGCTTATTTTTGTCTTATTTTGCTCAAAAAACAGTTAAATGAAACAAAAAAATAACATCAATATCACTTATTTCTGTGATTTTTAAACGTGTATGGACAAGATTTTGCAAAATAAATGAATCTGATTCAAAAACGAAGCAAGTCAAGCGGAATAATTTAAAAATAATATCGATTTTGATTTGATTTTGGAATTTTTTTGCCTGCTTCAACGAAATTTTTAGAATTTTCTTTCTCTTTGTTTCAAAAACGTGCTTAGACACTTAAAAAGTCGAATTTGTTGAATTTCTGGATTGTTTTTAATCAAATTTTGCAAAATAATTGTGTTTCTAGCTAAAAAAGTATTCGAAAAAGACAAAAATAAATTGTCATGTTCGATTCTGTTTAGTTAAAATCTTATAAAAAACAAACAGAACTATTTTCAACCAATTTGGTGGTTTTGACTTTTTTGAAGAAATTTGACGAAATAATCAAGTTTCTGGTTAAAAACGTGGAAAATTCATCTTCAAAAAATTACCAGATATTAGAATTTTTAAAAAAGTTTTCACAAAATCACCACACTAACATGGAAATCACCAGATCTGGTGAAATTTCACGAAACCTGTCAACACTGGATTGACTTTCAGGTGGGTGTATAAATGGTTGCATAAATAGCAACGCTACACAACGCTGAAAGCAAAAGCTTTCAAAAAAGATTTTGAATAAATAATATCCACGGCCACGAATAAATAAGTGAAAAAAAATTGAACAAAATGTTCTTGTATTAAAAACAAAAAATAGTATATTAAAGAACGCGTTTCGTAGGGCAAGTTTTGTGAAACGAGTTCAGGTTTATGAAACGAGCACTTTTGTGAAACGAGTTCAGGTTTATGAAACCAGCAGCGAAGCGCGAGTTTTTATAAAGAACTAGTTCTCACAAATGACTTCTAAATTAAGTTTTTTTATGCAATTTTTTCCATTTTGCGTGTTTAACATAAAAGTTAATTTTTCAAAATTTAGGAACTTTTGCTGTAATAAGGTTGTGGTTGGTAATAAATGTCACAAAGTTTGAAAGTTCAATTTTCGAAGTGTCAAGTCTCAAGTATTTTTCAAAATCTTTTCGAATTAACAGTTAATACTGCAAATATTTCATGCACACTACCTGAAAAAAGAGAAATCGTTTAAAACGCCGTTGAAAATCACCATTACCAACTTTTAGAAAGTAAATTGTAGTAGTTTATTTCACTACCCGAATCAGTGTTGAAATGGCTCATTAAAGCATCGGGTTTGGTAGCGAAATAAGCTTTCAAACTCAACATATTAAGAAAAATATATAATTTTAATCAAAATACCAGGTGAATAAAAAGTATGTAACCAAACGTTTTTTGCTTAAACTGTTTATTTTTTGAAAAATTTATTTTTACAAAAAAAAATAATTTTTTTAAATGACAATCCACTATAAAATCATTTTTCTCATAAAAGCTATACTCTAAGGATTACAACTATCTGCTTTATATTTAATTTTTTCATAAAAAAAATTTCAAAAAATTAACAAAAAAAATCGCGTAACTCAAAAACAAAACAAAATTTCGTTCTGAAAATACGATCACATATTTATATTTATATTAATTGTCATTTTCTGGAGGCAAATGATCAAAAATAAAACCGATTGGTTCCATACTTTATATTCACCCTGTATGTGTTTTGAAGGGCGCGGATAAAACTGAGACACCTAGCATACGTCCATAATTTCTAACCTGTTTTAATTAGTTAATTTTCAAAATAAGAAAGTAAGAAAATAAGAAATTGTCGTTCACAAAAACAAGAGTGCAAAATTATTGTATGCAAATTAAAGAATCTGACACAATAAACTATTATTCATCACTTTACGTTGTTGGAATTCCCATAATTACTTATGCGTTTCTAAAATCCCTAATTATGCAAAAAATATAATTGCAATTTTATCATCTTCTTATCTCATTAGTCATTATTTAGACATGTAGTCGTTAAATATTAAATAAAAATAGGTTTTAATTGACATTTGCGTCATTCCTTGACATGTTTTTTTCCCCAAGATATGAGAAAACGGTCAAAGGTAGCGACGACATCCCCGCCTACCGTTTCACCCCTCCTCGTAATGTCTTCGGTGACGTGGATGAAAACCCCGAAAATCTGTGTTTCTGTCCGCACGGCCCGCCCTGCGCCCCTTCGGGCTTCTTCAACGTGTCGCTTTGCCAATACGGTACGAGACTCCGCCTTTCGTACACGCCCCTTTCTTCTAATTGGTTATTTTACAGACTCGCCGATTTTACTCTCCTTCCCGCATTTTTACTTAGCCAATGATAGTTATCGCACCGCCCTCGATGGCATCTCCCCGCCTGAACCCGAAAAACACAAGTTTTATATTGATGTGCAGCCCGTCATGGGCACGGCCATGAGTGCTAAAGCCCGCGTCCAAATCAACTTGGCCGTGTCACAAGTGGTGGATATCAAACAAGTGGCCACTTTCCCTGATATCATTTTCCCTATTATGTGGTTTGAGGAGGGGCTTGACGGTTTGCCCAAGGAAATGACCGGTTTGATGGGTTTGGCTACGACGGTTCCGCCCATCGCAAGGGCGGCGCTATCAGGCGTTTTGTTCGTCATGGGGGCGGTGCTTCTCCTAATCGCCGTCTGGAGGTACACGCAAACCCTTTACCCCGAATTTGGTTAACCATGATTGGTTGTAGGTTAGTCCGAGGGGCCAATCGACTCAGTTCGTTGCATCTAGCACCAGGTCACGTGGGACCGCCCACCAATAAAAACAAAGACGTCCCAATGGGAAACGTACCTAGGAATTAATTCGAGAGGTGATTGAACGAACAACGAAGCAATATTTTCTTGTTATAGGTTAGGACAATTTGCTCATTAAGGTTAAGTTAGTTAGGTGTTGTATATTCTAGTACAAAAATTTGTTACTTGGTCGAAATTGTGCCTTACACGTGATTTAAAAAGACAAAATGGCGGTTTTTTGTACATTGTTATTGTATAAATAATTTTAGAATTGATTGTTGTAGGGAAAAGTGATTTTTTTATTTGTTTAGATTTTTCTATCGAGTCCGTCCCTTTTAATTGTATAGTTTCGATAGTCATTTTTTATTTCAACTGTATTTTACTGGTTATGTGTATATTTGGACAATAAACTGTATTTTCTATTCGAGATTTTGAATTTGCCGCCATCTTCGTCCTTGCCCGCTCCATATCAAATTGGATCCATTGCGCAGGCAATTACATTAAAAAAAATTTCTTGTGTCACGGATTCAATTACAAAATCGTATTGTGTTTTAATTTATTAAAAGTTTGCTTTTAAATATTTTTTTTCCGATAAAATATTTTAATTTTGTTTCATAAGAGCGCAAGTGCATAAGGTTTCATGCGGACCCAACGTGTAATTTGGTTGATTAATTTTGTAATATTAGAGATTTTATACAAATATTTCTAAAAGACAATTTCATTATAAAAAAACAAGTTCAAATTACGCTTTTAAACATTTTTTCTGGTTAAGTTACTTTCTGTGGGACCACATGGACATAGGGTTGTATGCGCTTTTGACATTTACGTTAAAATGGTTCTGATTTCAAAGACGCTTTCTTGAGTTCACTTATTTGTTATTTAATCGTGCTTTTAGTACTTGTGCATTTTAATAAGTCGTATTTGGTAATAAAGCCTCAAATTTGGGTACCATTGACGCCTGAAAAATCCGAAAATTGTTTGACACATCCAACCCGGGTAAGTCCCCAAACAGAAACTCAAGTTTTCATATAAACAACTACTTTATTCTTAAATACTATTCACAAATCACAATAGCAACATAATACCAGTAATAATAAGTACACGCGTCCTAATATCACTTGCCGATAATATCCGGACTAGAATTCCTCGACATATTTCTAATACTCTTGATATTCTTCAATTCTCGTGTCCCGTGGAAGGTGAAGTTCACATCACAGTTGCTCAAAGGGTGGTGGTCGCCGGGTTTGGGACTCGAGGGGGTCCCAACCCCGCTATCTATGGAGTTACACGGGGAGACTTTCTCGTGATAGGAGTCCAAAGGGAGACTTATAGACTTGTTAAGGTCACACTCCTGCACCTTTATGTCAATTTTAGTGTTGTTGTTGTTAAATTGTTGCAAAATGTGGTTGTGAGAAGACGAGAAAAAATGAGAGGTTTTCTGGGGTGACTTTTCACAGTTTTCGCGAATGAGACTATTTGAACGCAAAATATCCTGGTCGAGAGTGACCGGAAGCATTATTTTTCCAGTAGAGAGTGATTTAACCAAAGCTTTCTCGTTTTCGGACTTTTGGAACATTTTCATTAGGTTATTCTGGGGTTTGAACTCACTTTTCCGTCTTTCGGAATAGGAAATTTGGTTCAAGATCCTTCGAACGTCGTCTGGGATTTCAATTTCGACTTTTTGTTCGATTAGAGTGTTGAGGAAGCCTCCTAAAGTGGCGATTGTGACGTCCAAAGCCCGACTATGCATCTCCAGTTTGTTTAATTGGGCCTGTTGTAAAGTCCTAGTCTTCTCAAGTCTTTGGACGTTGCTCAAGGCGAGTTCCAATTGGGCCATCAAGGCCTTATTTTGCTCAGTCAGTGTCTTATTTTGAGATTCTAACTTGTGTAAAGCCTCGACTTGTGGTTGGACGGACGTCATTTCCTCTTGTAGGACTTGGTACTCGACTTTGTACTCATTCAATTGTTTTGTTATATCAGTCGTGTACACTTGTTTCATGATTTTGTCAAGTGTAGGTTTGTCTATTGTTGGTAGTTTGTTTTTTAAGTAGTTCATAATTTCCTCAAAACTGTCGCAAGCGAGTAGATTGTCTTTGTGGAAGGTTAATAGGGCTATAGCCACTCGGAAAATGACATCAGGGCTTTCCAAAAAAATCAGATCTGGGGGAGGAAAATCCCATTTAGTATTTTTTTCTTGTCAAGTTGGTAAAACTCACCAAAAACACGAGTGACGAACCCTAGAGGGAACTGTGATGCGAAAATTGTCAATAACCAAGGAGCGGCATACAGAGTTGGGGCCACTTCGTAGAAATCAAAGTGGTTGTAGAGATCTGGGAGTTGATCATGGAGTAACCTCGATAGTTGGTACAACTTGACTTGCAACCCCACCATATCTGGCAAATATTGCAGTCTGAGCCCCCTTCTAAACATCAAGTGTCTCAAAAGGAAGAAAGCTTGAGACTCTTCCATCTGCAATAATTTTTTAAATCAATTGTAAAAACAGAATTAAGATTAATTACGTGAAGTAGTAAAACACCGGCGACGAAACTCATGCCTTGGCAATAGCCCATTTCGGAGTCGAGTAACGAGTAGGCTTTGAGTAGGTTAAAAAGGGCCAATTGGCCAGGTCCTAGGGGACTACTGAAGTACGAATGATTCGGGAAGGTTCGTCCCAAGTCAATTAATATCGCGTGTTGATGCGAGGTCAATTGTTTGAGGAGTTGTTCGTAGGGAACGTTGTAATTGGGGAAGTTGGAGGTGTCGATGGGGGCTGTATGCATGCAGTATTGTTCGGCGAGAAATTGCCACACTTCGCCGCGTTTGCCGCGAGGGACCCCTTCAAAAGACAGAAGTTGGTTAGGTTGGCTCTAAAACCTAGACTAGGTTTAAATCGTTAAAAGTTTCAACATTGCCCAGGTAGAGTCTAGGCTATATTAAGAAAACCCTGGACAAAGTAAAATCAACTAAGTATGAAGTTTTTGGTAGAAGTTAGCCCAGGTTGGTATAATTTACAAGAAATTTAAGCAAAAGTTTGGGTTGAATCTAGGTCTTAGACGAAGGCAATTAATTGTACTCAGATTAAACCTAAGCCTAGGTTTGCCCACTCACCCTGTCTTATAGCTTGAAGGAGCATCTGATTATCACACTTCATCCTTGTTTCTTTATTTGTTAGCATCTCCCAAACCTCCATAACCTCCCTCTGTGTAGGCTTCATCTCGTCGTACTCCAATTTGATCCTCTTCACGGCCGATTCCTCTTGTTCTGCCTTCAATCTCGCATTTTCCTTCTCCATCCTCACTAGAAGTATCGCCTGACAGATGGATTTCCTCCATAACTCTCTCAATTCCTCCTTGGTCTTCTTCTTCATCTCCACGGGTTTATCATTCTTGTTGGGAGTAATGACCCTTTTGAAGATGGCTTGTCGCCAAGACCCTGAATCGAGTTTAGGGGAGCCATCTTCGGAAGTGACCGATTTGGGACTACTACCAACTTTTAAAAATCTGAAACGAAAAAAATTACTAATTTACTAAAATTTTGGGCAACCTACATGTCCATCATGGGCGATTTCGGGGTCCTGTCAGGAGTGGTAACACAGCGATCTGGAGATACCGAACTTTTGGTTTCTTGCACTGTTAAATGGCTCTCTTTGAGGTCATTTTGCGAGCCGATGGTACTCGATCTTGACCTCATCCCTTCCGAATCCCCTTCGCTGACCTCAATAGTGGGCGAATGAGGTGAATTTTCCCGATTCAGGGCCGCAATCGGCAAATTCATCTCTCTTAAACTCGCCCCAAAATCATCTTTTGACGCTTTTCTTTTCAACATTTCGAATGAATTCGTCAACGAACGTTTCGCTTTCATGAAAATTGTTCCTCCTCCTAAGTACTGGTTTAAAAATTCGGACCGATTTTCGGCCGAATCGTGCACATGCCGGCCCTGTTTCATCTCACAATGGGCCCTTAGTAACATCATGAGGAATTCGTTCTGTTCGCGTACCGAGTCCGTCTCTGCTCCTTTAAATTTTGCCAAAATTGTGTTCTGTTCTTCTAAATCGAGTTCTTCGAGACGTCGCAAAATGGCTGCTTGGGTCTTCCGGTCGGACATTCGCTCGACTTCTGTGCAAAGTTTATGGAACCAGACCATTGGGCAATGGTCGCAGGAGGTGATGGCGGGACGAGGGCGCGATTCCGAGCTGGCGAAGGCCTGGGTTATGGCTAAAAAATAAAAAATACAGTCAAAAAGCCAAAATCAGGGTTAATTTAGCCCAGGTTGGACCATAGGTTAGCCCCAACCTGGGCTAAATTGCCTAGCCTCCATCTTGTAATGTTTTAGGTTGAAAAAGAAACCTGGACAAAATAATTCAAGTGTAAATTTGTTTAGGTTTTGGCTAGGTTGGTTCTAGCATCTAGATTACGTCAGGTTTAAATTTAGTAATGGAATTTTTACATCAGTGATTGTGTTTATTTTCAAAACATTTATGTCTAGGTTGTGACTAAAACCTAGACATTTTTGGAAAAAATAGTAATTTTTGCTCACCGGAAACGGCGTCTGTGGCAATGGAAGACGATTCGCACTTGAAAATGTATCCTACGAAAGTCAGTCCGTTTTTCCCTTCGCGACAGACAAAACCGAAATGTTCCATTTTCTGCACTCCTTGGACACAAGTAGTGATATCTTTATGTTGCTTGTGCAATAAAATGACTTTCCGATCAGGACTGATGAGCCTTAAATCGGTCCTGTCGACTTGTAAAACCATGGTACGGTTATGGTCGTCCATATCGACACTCTTGGAATCATCTTCTTTGTCTTCATCTTTATCTTCAACAGTCTTCACTGTAAGTCCACTCATGGAAGATTGTGATCTTTGTAAAATTGGATGACCGAAACTTTCGACCGAACTATTTGAGCTAGTGGATCCTCTTCTGATGTTATCTTCACTCCTCAATCTTCCGATATTTCCCAACATTTTCGCTTTGATTTTTTCCATTTCATGTGTTTTGAATTTCTCCAAAGCATCGTCAATAAACGTATCGGGGACTTTCTTTTGCCAAACTTTTATCTTTCCAATGTATAAAACCTAAAATCTGAGTTGAAAATTTTCGAATTTTTGTATAATATGGTTGCTACCTCGAAGAAATTACTAGAACTAGGCGATATGTCCACACATAATGATGTCAAATTAGCAGCACTGCTCACAGAACGTGTCGGTGCCTGGTTCTGGTCCTTCATTTGTTTATACAATTCTGAAACCTAAACAGTAAGGTCAAGGTTGGGCGAAAAAAATCGTCAAAGTGAATAATTAGTGATAAAAAATTGTGGTCATATTGGTGGTTTCAAGACCAAATATTTCTTTTTTTTTTCGTATCTTTTGCATTTCCTGTATTTTGTTGTTAGGCTCTTGCACGTGTAACTTTTTTTCTATTAATTTGCGTAATAAATTATCATGTTGGTGAACTTGGCAAGGTTTGGTATAATAATAAATTAGCATTTTCTAAACTGGTTATCACAGTTGTTGGAAAAAATTGCAGCACGGTGCTTGTTTCTAATAAATAAATACAGTACTCACTTTGGAGACACTTTGTATGCGTAAAAATTAGTAATTAATTCATACTTGGTATCAAGTTCAGCGATAACAATGTTGGGAATACCTCAACACTGATAATATTGTTGTAAATCACCAGCTGTACAAACACATGAGCATAAAATAAATATTTTGAGAAACACACTTTTATTTTATTATTAATTTAAGTTTTCTAAAACTCTAACCGCAATTTTTTTTGTGTTGTTATAAATTCATTCTATGTCTGAACTGCTTAGATTGCACCTAGGTGTGATAAAAATCAAGTTTAAGAAGGTCTTTAAAACCTAGAACTGCTTAAATTGCGTTACCTAGGAATTTGCACAGGTTGTATACTAAGTTAAACTTAGATTTACAMGAAACCTAAATAGATCTAAAGTAGATTGTCATATAGGTCACAGACCAAAAGCAATTTTCATTTATGACAGTTACCCTAGATCAAAACAGATTGTGAAGTTAGCCAGGCTTTGTCTCTTTGTCTAATTTCTAAGAAGGTTTCTCTAAGTTATAGAAATATAGTATCACAATGACACTAATAAATGATACTATATTATGTGTTAGAAAAAACTATAGTTAGGTGGCACTCAGATTTGTTTAAGTTGCATTTAAAATCCAGACAAAGTGAGATTTAGCCAAAGGTTTTGCTGCATTAAAAACAGAATTTCAAGGTTTTAAACTCGCATTAGTTTAAATCATGCCCAGGTTGCTTTTGTCTAGGTTGTCATTTTTGCACTGAATTGTGTTCGAAGGGCCGAATTAGTTGTGCAAATTGTTGGAATTTGATCAAAAAGTGCTTGGAATTATTAAAATTATCCTTGGATTGTTTGGAATTACTGGCGTTATTTGTGAATTACTGGAATTCTTTTTGGAATTATCAGAGATTTCGTTCGAAAATTACGTTGCATTTCTTAGAACTATCGGAATTAATTTGGAATTGCAAGATTTTTTTGGAATTACGAACATTCAGTTGGAATTACAGAAATTAAGTTGGAATTACAAGAATTAATTTGGAATAATAGGAATTAATCTGAAAGCAATCGAATTATGATGGATTATTGACGTTACTGGAATTTCAGTACAATTTTTTGGGATTACTGGACCTATTTGTGAATTACTGGATTTTTTTTAGAATTACTGGAATTCTTATTGAAATTATTGGAATCCTTTTTTGGAATTATCGAAGATAATTTCTTCTCCAAATTAGACATTGAATTTTTTAGGACTACCGGAATTAATTTGGAATTATGATGAATTATTGGAATTTCGGTGTTTTTTTTTTGAAAACGGAATTTGTTACATACATTTTTTTTCAAGTTATCGGCCCCTCGATTTTGCTGTTATACTAGGATAAATTGGGTAAGCTGATGGCATTTTTTACGTTCTGTCAGATAAAACCTAGGCTTTAGAAAATATATTTTAAATTATTTCTTTGTATTCATATTTAATAAAAATATATCCAATTTCACTAGTTTCTCCCTAACAGTTGGAGCACTTTCTCCGCACAAAAACGGTGCAATATGATAAATGAAGTTGCTACTTTGAATAATAATTAAGTAGTGACCTAATTGTCATCTTTATACACATGCAACATAATAAAATACCATCTGTTATCAAAGTAAACTATATTTTCGATAAAAAACTTAACATATGGTTTATAGCGGCGGTTTTTATGCCCGCTTTCAAACACTTTGATCGATTATAGAGCTCGCACCCTTTAGTAAATTGAAAAACGAAGAATAAATAACGAAAAGTGATCAAATATTTTATTCCAATCTTCTCAGAATTCAAGTAAAAAGTCGGTTTAATGGGCGAACGCCCACGAATGGTGCAAACTTTCAGTTTCATTCACCTTTATTAACCTGAATTATGTTCAACACGCGACAACGCCAACGCGACAAATATTTACAGAGTGTTCAATAATTAATAAATCAAAATTGAGCTTTATTTAACAATAAAAACAACAACAAATTGCGCCTTCAAATTTCATTTATCTTCGACAGTCTCTGTTTTTGGTCCAACGATAATCCAAATCCCAATTCCCCGATCACTAATTCCAAACAGTGTTTACTGGCACACTCCGTTTTTAAATATAGCCCGTCCTTCGTCGAAATTTTCTCTCGAAGTGACCTATGAACTCGTTGGTGGAAAACTTACGGTTTTCTTTTCGATGTAGGAGGCATCGCTGTGCGAAGAAATACGCACGTGAGGGTTGTAACCGTAATTCGGTATCGTTATCATGATTTTTCACGAGATGCAAAGCATCACACAAACTCACTCTTGAACTGAAAAATCAAAACTATCGCACGAGGAAGCGACGCTGACGTCGCGACGGCCAAATTTAAAACGCATCACTCGCTCAAAGTGTGATACTCGAGGTGGAAAGGTCGGCGAGAGGAGGCGGCGATCGGTCTAGAGAGAATGCAATCCGAAAAAAAAACATTTTGTGTTGTTAGGTTCCTATTTTTCAATTCTGATAATAAAAATTTTCAATTTTCATTGAAGAAAATTTGTCTATAGGGTGACTCAACTGAGATGTCCAAAACATTTTAAAATCAGTTTTTTTTTTTTGGTACACTTTATTTATTCCATTTTGTTTCTTTTTAACACATTTCCTATTTCGTTAATTCTATAAATAATATCTATACCTACACAAATAGGAAATTTAGGATTAGCGAAATGTTTTAAAACTACATACAGAGGGGCTCCAGAACTCGCGCCCCAGAGAAAAATGCCCTATAAGATAAGAACATGGAAAAAACGTTAATTTTTTTAAATCTATATTCTTTTTCATATTAATGTGCATCAAGCAGGTTGTAGAAGTCTAAATGCATCTTTAATTTAAAGACAGATTCACACAAAAAGTGTCATTATTGTCATTCAGGAGAAATTTAATCACATCAATATTGACAAAAATGTTTAAGTTTGTGTTACCCTTGGATAATTACCTTCTTAATTTTAATTATTTTTTGCTACCTGGGGTACACATTTATTTAAAAAATATAATTTTTTAGGGAAAATTGAAGTTAGGATGGTTTGAATTTTCGCATGGTTGCCACCTTAAAAGGATCCTTTTCAACGACTACTTCGATGCACATTAATATGACAACGAGTATATAAAAATTTCGAAATTGTAACAGTTTTTGTTGTCGTATTTCTGTTGGAAAAATGATTTTCCAAGTTTTTTTGCTACAGACTATTAAAAGAGGAAATAAGAAAGCTGTATCCCAAATTGTAACTCTATTCAATGTTATTTGTGGTTTTTATTTGCAAAATTTTTGTTCCTTTACTAAATAATTGTAAAAAAAACATATAGAAGATCATCAGTATCATTAGGTAAATAGACATAAAAAAAATGTCAAATGTCAAAATTTTTTGAGAGATAGAATTTTTTAAACATTTTTTCCATGTTCCTGGTATCTTACCTTACCTGAAATTTTTCTCTGAGTTTAAATTTTGCACTTTGACTATTTATTCTCTTGAAAAAATAATTTTCCAGGTTTTTTGCTAAAGGCTATTAGAAGAGGATACAAGGAAGCTGTATCCTAAATTGTAACTCTGTTTAATATTATTTGTGGCTTTTATTGGCAAAATTTTTGTACCTTCACTACAAATTTATAAAAAAAAAACATATACCTACAAGATCATCAGTATCATTAAATAGATATAAAAAAATGTCAAATGTCAAAATTTCTTGACATGTTCCCAGTATCTAATCTTACTTGAAATTTTTCTCTGGGGAGCGAGTTCTGACACACCCTGTATAATAATAATGTTTTAACTCCGAAGAATAAATAGGCAAAATGATGCAAAAGTAAAATTCTAACTATAGCTTGACTTAACTTAGACTTAGATGATTAGAAATAATACATAAATAAGTCATTCTGTATCTTCTGCTATAATCTAATTAATTTAATTTAAATTATTAAATTAAATTAAATTTCAATATTTATAGGTTGTTTCTTTTAAAAACTGACGAGACTCATCCTGTATAAAATACAATGTCAATCAAAAATATGTATTAAAGGATCGCACATTGTATTTTTTTTTCATGACAACTAAAAATAACGCTAATGTAAGAATGTGATATCAAAATAAAAACACTATTGCCAGTGATGCCAATCTTTAATTTTTTATGAGCTATGTCAAGGGTACAACTGTTTTAAATATTTGTCTATTTTGTATTTCCTTCATTGTGGATCTATTTTTAAAATTTTACTATTTTATCTCAAAATGTATTTTTTTTCGTTGCCAACGAATAAATTACTTTACAATTTCAAACAGCAATTTAAAACAATGTATTATTCACGTAATTAGTGTCAATTTATGGCAGTTTAAAGAGCATTTAAGTGTGTTGTTTAGTGAAAAAAATGGCCGTAAAAATACAAACCTAGCTTGTAGACATAAAAAAATTCAAGAAAATAAATAAAATATGTCAAAAATTATTCAAACCTCTTTGTTGTTGTTTAATTTCAGTTATTTCCCATCAGCAAGTGTTTATATCTCAAACAAGGTCGAGTTCATAAAAACCTTTGATCTTTGATGCAATGAAAGTTCGAGTAAACGCAAAAAATAACAAACACTCTCAAAACTGGCGACTTTGACCAAATTAATTAAAAAAATGGTCAAAATTTTATTACATGCTCCTTGATCTAGAAATGATTCGAGTCGTGAAATCGAGTCTTGATCTTTCAACAAATTGTTGAGATGTTATCTACGTCACTGATAAACTCTAATGGCATTTTAATGAACCTAATTGTCTCAAATCGTTTGCGTCAAAAATTTATTGATTTGTTTGTGGTGCAACGGACAGGTGAAGACTTGGTTAACACTAAACGATGAATTAGTAGGTTACATAGATGAAGGTCGTTGGTAATAAACAACAAAATTGGTAAATGAAGTGGAATTAAATGACGGAAATTGATCGAAAGGCACAGGAAGGAAGGAGTAAACAATATAGAATTTTGATGTTATTTTTTTCATTTTTCTCAATTTTTTTGCTTTGACAAGTTCAATTGGAATCAATTTTCTACATGTAAGTTGTATATTTTTATTACAGTCTATTAATTAGCAAAAAAACAATTTAGGAGTAATGAAGTGGTTTAATTGAAAATTATTTACAAAAAAATAAAATTTTAATTAACAATGTAAATAATTACTGGGAAAACGTTTACGTCAAACGTCAAGGTAGGGAAACGTCTAAATTGCAATAATCCTACCACAACAATAACATAAATAAAACATAACTTAATAAGCGACTTTGTTTCTATTATTACTGCAGATGCAATAAACATTTTTACATCAGACGTTTTTATTATTGTTTCATGACAAGTTCCGAAATTTTTATGACACGCGTTGAGTATAGGTTGTACTCTGTCGTATCTACTTTTTTAATAAGAGTTGAATTATGTATTAACAATATATGTCTAAGTATAAGTGCACATACGTACATACACGTTTACGTTTGATTTACCCACATGTTAATCAAAACGGCCATTTTTTAATTGTAGGTTTTGACGTCTGTGTACATAAACAGGCTAATTATATTAAAAATAACGAAGCGTAAAGTCTACTCATATCATATTTCATATAAATATTTACATTCAATTAATATGTTTCAAGTACAGGGTGAATCCGATGTATTGAGACAACTCACATGAATCACCCTCTATATACCTAATGAAATTTTTTATCACATACAGGGTGTCCGAAAATTGCTTGCACAAACTTCAAGGGGTAATTCTATACCCCAAAATATGATGAAAAGTTCCTATCAATATGGGTCCAAAAAATTTTCCTTAGAAGTTACATCCCTGTAAAGGTGGGTCTTCAAACGTGCTTTTTTAATTGTTTTTGTTAATATTTTAATTAGAGAAACAAAACCACACACCCGTAGGTTTTTTAGGATGCTGAATCGATTGGCATAAATAAAATTTTTGAATCTTGGTCAGGGGCGTACAAAGTAGGGGGGGCTGCGGCAAAAATCGCTCAATACATTTTTCTCTTAAGAGTTTTTGCAAATTTAATACCATAATAAAATAGAAAAAACATTTTTTCATGAAAAATAGCTTCTTGGTAAAATGTTGTAGAAGGTACCGTTTTAATTGAAACAATGTGATATCGTGAATGTGATGAAAAAAAATATATTTGGCGTTTTCGTGTTTTTTTTTCTAATTGAAGAATTAAATTAATAAAATTAAAAATTTTATATAAATATTAGATAAATAATCATATGATACATCGTTGTAATCAGGAACAAAAAGACTTTTCAAAAATACAGAAATTGAATATGGCGCCCCTAAGAAAATCCAAAGTTGAGTGTTGTAACTCTGATATCAAGAACGCCTTGGAAAATACAATGACAGATTTAGATTCTTTGCAAAAAAGTGTTTAAAGAATGTCTTAGTTTAAAACGTCTAGGTCTTTTAGTTTTCGCTTAAAAAAATAAAAACGAAAATTACAAATTTCCGTTTTTTTTTCAATAACTCAAAAACTAAAAATTACACATTAAATTTACTTTCAGATAATTGTTCAGCATAAAAATGCACAACTTTGCCCTAATTTAACTGACCTCGTATCTCTTATAATAACTGAGATCTCCATGGTGGAGCTCGAAAAACGGACACCCTGTATATCAGGTGAATAAAAAGTATGAAACCAAACGTTTTTTGATTAAACTATTTATTTTTTTGGAAAAACTAATTGATAAAGTAGTATAATGTGATGTTATATCAAAAATAAAATTTTTCGAAATTGCCTTTTGTTTTTTTTTGAATCCTACAATTTTTTTTAATTTTTTAAATGACAACCCACTATAAAACCATTTTTCTCATGAAGGTTATAAATGTTATAATCTACGGATTACAACTATCTACTTTACACTTAATTTTTTCAAAAATTTTTTTTTACATAAATTGCAATTTTGACAAAAAAATCGCATAAAAACAATAAAACAAAATTTCGTTTTCAAAATACGATTACATTTTTTATATTACTTTAATTTATATTACTTAATTATAATTTTCTGGAGGCAAATGATTTAAAAAAACCGCTTGGTTTCATACTTTATAATCATCCTGTAGATTTAATTTTTGAAAACAACAAATTACATACCAGGTGAATAAAAAGTATGGACCTAACGTTTAGTGCTTAAACTATTTATTTTTTGAAAGAACTAATTGATGCGTGATAAAGTACTATAAAAATGTGATGATTTAACAAGAATAAATTTTTTCGAAATTTTCTTTTGTTTTTGAGTTCTACAAAAAATTTTTTTTTTTTAAATAGCAACCCACTATAAAATCATTTTTCTCATAATAGCTATACTCTAAGGATTTCAACTATCTGCTTTATATTTATTTTTTTCAATTTTTTTTTAAATAAATTGCAATTTTGACAAAAAAATCGCATAACTCAAAAACAAAACAAAATTTCGTTCTGAAAATACGATCACATTTTTTTATATTACTTTAATTCGTATTAATTATAATTTTCTAGAGGCAAATGATTAAAAATAAAACCGCATGGTTCCATACTTCATATTCACCCTGTATCTACTTGTCACACATTGTCATAAATTCGAATCACTTCTTAAAAATAATTCGACTCTTTAAATATTGACTCGCCGATTCCAAGGTCATCCAAAACACAAATTCACTCAAACTCCATCCTTTGGCCCTCTTCCAAGGTCCAAAACTCACAATGAATTATCACCGAATCAAAAAAACTTTTCCTAAGAAATATCACCGGGCACTAAATCGGGCGAATATCGAGTCCAACTGCCAAATTTTTGGCGCACGAGTCAATATTTCAAAGGGTAATCACGTGAACGTGTCTTTCAATGTCCTCCAAAAACCGCTTTTGGGCGTTTGGTTCGGTTTTGCTAATTTTGGGGTGGCAAAAACGTCATCTACGATGTGGACAACTCCGTTGGTGCATTTGTAGTCGGGGCGGGAGACTCTAACCCATTTCGTGCCCCATTTTAGGTGGTAGTAATCGTCGAAATAATCGATTTGGAGTTTGAGGGTACCACCTAATGTTTCCAGAATGGTACTACCATTGGTACTTTTGGATAAGGCGACCAATTTGGGCATGGTGTAGCGGACTTCAGCTACGATTAAATGCCGGGTGAGAATGTCGACGAGTTCATTATGTGAGTACCCTGTGTAGTTCCTCCACGCTCTATTTTTGGGGGCGAAATAGGTGTACATCCCTCTTTCCTGTTTCAGGATTTTGTTAATCCTGTTTTTGGAGCCTAAATTGTACGTAAAGTCCAAATTAGGGTCAGAGGTCACTTTGTGGATGACTGGTAAGTAAGGAAAAAATTGGAGTTGGCGGTCAAAAACAGCCAAAGGTTTGGAAATCAAGTGGACAACACCATTGGTCACTGGAATATCACTTTTGATAATTTCGGCGAACACTTCGCCCCTTTTGTGGTCACTATCACCCAAAACTGTGAAGCTTTTGATGTAGTACCGGTCATTTCGTGACGTCATTGATAGTACTATGTAGATATAGTCGCCATTGGAGGCACTTTCAAAAATAAAATTTTTGGCTGTGGGTCTCGTGAAGAGTACCATGTTGGGTATCACGTGTGCTTCAATCACATAACTGTCAATACTTTGTAGACGATAGTCGTCCATTTTGTCATCAACAGGGATGAAAAAAGTGTGACCACCGGGTTTTTGGTACAACTCCGACTTGTCATGGTACTGAACTCTGGTCCAGAAATTAAAACTTTTGAGCGGTCCCAAATCCCATTGGTTGTAGTGTTGTAAGAAATCGAAAGCTGATGGGTTTGCCATGTGTGTCATGGGGTCTAGTACCCGGTCAATCACGTGTAGTACCTATCACACAGTTAGAAACAATCAAGTCGGCAGGGCCAAGCTCACCTGATTCAAATTCTCGTTCCTTTTACATTTTGCCATGTAGTTGGAGCGGTTTTCCAAAATTTTGGCGTTGTTAATGTAGTACCCATCTGGGGTCACACTTACCCATAGCGGTGGATTGTCCCCATGGGCACTTTGGATCGAGTTATTCAACCTTAATTGTTTAAAAGTGTACGGCTGAGTACCCATATGGTACAGTACCACCCCATCGCGAAAAAACCCGTTGAATGTTTGAATTGCGTCATTCGTCGGCACGAAAACAGTGACACCACTGTATAACAAATTCAAAGACGATGCTTTATTGTTTCTTATCATGGTTTTATATCCGGAGAACTCTTCCTCTTGTGTGATTTTATCGTAGATGGTTGCCCATTGTTGGTAGCAATGGACAAAATTCGGGGAAAAAATCAAAAAAATAGCGAGGATTGTACACATGACACACACTTGTTTCGTAATGAAATCTCAGTTTGATTATTTTTGGGGCAAGGTCGTGTTTATCGGTTAGTTTTGAGGAAAAAGATTGTCGGAAGTGAGAGGATTATTTTCGTTTTTTGATTGGAAATGGAGGTTTTGAATGCAGTGGAAAATAGGTCAGCGTCTATTTTTAGAATTTTTTTTAATTATTTTTAGGTGTGACAGTGGCTCGGAATAGCATTAAAAAATCGTGTTTTTTTGGCTTAATTTGAATCAAGTTGACTCTAGGTTTTGTTTGAAGGCTTACCAAGGCTAAAGTGGGTTTTCTTGGGTCTAAAATCTTACACATAAGAAAATAAGGCAAAAAGCTCTTTCTCTGGATTTTTATCTTGAATTTGGCCACGTCCTATGTCTGTCTAGGTTGCATACATCGCATCCGAAACCTAGCCAATTTCAGGTTTGTCTAAAGCGGGTAAGTTTAGAAAGCAACGATGTTTTAGGTTTATAAAGTGGCTATAGTTAAATCATTTTTGGTCAAGTTTGACTACGTTTTTTACAATAATGTATTATCATATTTAACATTACACATAAAAACTTAACTATCATAATTTTTATTTTGGTTATTTCTTCTTAGCTTCCATATACAGGATGTTCCAATGAAAACCAGCCACCCCCAATATCTCAGGAAACAAAAAGACTTTGCAAAAACGCCGAAACAGATCAATTTTGTTTCCGAGGGGGACATTATTTGACGTAATTTTTAAGTATACCCAGTAACCCCATAACCTCTACGCACCCCAACTTTAAAAAATTAAATGGCACTACCCCCACTTATGACACATTAAATGAAAGCTATTTTAATAAGCTTTTCAAAACTTTTTACTAAAATTGAGTCAGACCTTCCATTCATGAGATACAGAGTGTTCTAAGAAACGAACCACCCTAGAAAGAATTTTCAAAAAAAACCCAAAACAGGTTAGTTTTTAGTTTCGTTTTTAAAAGAAACATTTTTTGACGCAATTTTAATCGCACCCCCACTAACCCTTTAACTTCCTCCACCTCAATTCCGTAATCTCAAATGACACCGAGTCACTTAAAATGTTCTTTACACCTCTTTTCTAAAGTTGAACGGCATTATCTATTCATAGGATATCCGCAAAAAGTAATGTTTATAATTAGTAATTACTTTTAATAAAAACTATTAAAATAAATTACAAGAAACTTACTAATATTATATATTATAATTATTATTGGAGCTGTGACAAACTTATTTTTGTTTCTTTATTGGGTGATAATGGAAAAGGGATGTACCTAAAAAATAGCAATAGTTCGTAAGATCCTTTGTACATATTGACTGCTGAAAGATTTTTTTTGCCGATATTTTATGAATGTATAGAAGTCATTTCATTTTGGAAAAAACTTTTAAAAAGCATTTTAAAAGTGTTTTCACATTTTAGAGTTAAGTGGCATAGAGGTTAAGAGCTAGTGGGGGTGCTTTTAAAATTGTATAAAAAAATGTTCCTTTTAAAAACAAGGGTTTTGTGCAAATTCTTTCACCCTGCATCTCATAAACGGATGGCTTAATTCCCTTTTGGTAAAGAGTCTGGAAAAGCTTGTTTAAATAGCTTTGATTTGATGTGCCACAAGAGGGGTAGTGCTATTTAAATTTTTAAAGTTGGGGTGCGTGGGTTACTGGAGCTGCTTTAAAAATTACCTCAAAAATTGTCCCCCTCGAAAACAAAATTGACCTGTTTCGGCGTTTTTGCAAAATCTTTTCAGTTTCTGAGATATTTGGGGTGGCTCGTTTTCATTGGAGCTGTGACAAACTTATTTTTGTTGTTGTTTTGTATGTAATTTTTTTACTCTTTTTAGACCTTTTTTGTTTTAATATGACCTGCTCGTGTTGTATTGTTGTATTGTAGATATGATGATGTGGGCGTAAAAATTAATTAAATAAACAATCAAAAAAATTCGTCTCTAAATTGCAACACTTCGTTTGTTGCCCTCTGTTTGGAAACTCTGTTAAGGCCTTGAAACTATTATGTTCTTTGGTATAGCTCCATAATTACCATTAACTCCATTATTACTTTTAAATGTTTCCTAATTACTCAAGAAATATGTAGGTACTTAATTTAAATAGTTGTTTCTTTTTCAAAAATTATTCATTATTCATTAAATAAAGCAAAAATAACTCCGACAAATCACATAATTAAAACCAATTTACAACTTTCCGAAATTAACACAATCGTACAAAAAATCACTAGAAACAAACAACTGACGACCTTAACATTCCTCTCACGATTTTTGCGTATCGACACGAAAAATACTTACATCTGAACTTTTCTTTGCTTGAAATAAATAGCAATAAAGCAGCGAATCCTGATCATCCCTCATCAGATAGAGAAAAGTGGTTGGATCTTGGTCGGCTTGTGAAAAACGCGTCACTTGCCAGATTTTGTGTGAAAACTGCAACTCAAAATCTGGATTGTACGCCTGTAGAACTCCATCTTCGATTCCGAGACTCAACTGTAACAAAATGCACAGTTTATTAACTTTCGTTTTATCACCTGACAACGTGCGACGACTCGGCCCTCAAAATGCAAAAGAAGTCGAAAAATTGACATTGAAAAATACTGAATATTTATTCGGGGATACACCAGTGGATAAACATCTGTAAGCGATCGAAATAGTAATCTTGTGCTATTAGTAGCATTGTAGTAACCGGAATTATGTGTCTTTGGGGGTTTATAATGATTCGGAGGAGTTGGCAGGAGTGATTTGTTTCAATTGTTTTCCTAATATACCGGCACTACCACCATGGGAATGGGCGTATTGGTTGCACAACAAGTACCACATTGATAATATGGCACCCATGACGACTTTATGGATACATTACGCGGTGTGGGACCGGAGGTACACAACACTCTTTTTCAAACCCATGCTTCAATCACTTTTCCTGACTTATGAACCCATCGATACCGTCTGTATGGTTTGTCCACCCGGAATCCAACGTTTGGACTTCATCGATGAGTACACAACCCGAGTCCTACCTTACGGTTTCACTAACCCATCAAAAGTCCAAACTATATACATTGCGAAAAAAGCTGATTTCGTGGCCCATTATGTGATCCGGAGGGCTGTGGAAGAAGACAATGATGACCTCGTGGCCATAATCCCCAAAATTATCGAAGAGACTTATGGACAGTACTATATTTCTGAACTTTTGAGTAATTTGGACGAGACTGGACGCCAGATTATAGTGGCGGAGCATCGGGGATGCGCAGTGGGCGTCTTGTGTTTGAACGAAGAGGTCAATTATGATGTCCTCAATGAGGAGTTCGAGTTGGTACCTTTTAACGGTTTAAGGAAACACGACGCTGATGATGAAGTACTCAAAACGCAGGTTTTGAGTGCCACGGCCATACCGGTTTTGGAGGAGTAGGTTTTTACTGACCGCAAGTTGAATACTATAATTTTTCTCCCATTGTAGTAGCAACGAGCGACTGTCTAATACAACTCTTCAGGAGGAGACTCGTGAAGAGTCAACTGCTGAACAAGATGATCAAGACAATATTTCCGACGATGAGTTTTCTTTAGTCAACTTATCATCATCTTTGATATTTAATTTTTTGTACGAAGAAGATGAAACTAGTGATCATATCTTACTTTCCGGGAGTGAAACTAGTATCGAAAGCCATTTCAGCGCTGTTGTTCTCAATGAAGAATACGAAGACCACTTATACAACGCCGATCGAAGTGGTGGCGACGTCGAAGGAGATGAAAAACGCATCCCTCGACGTAAAGAATCCAAATTAGATAATATAACAATCCCTACGTACCACGGGGAGGCCAATGCTTTCGCCCTTGAAATTTGTACAGCGATGGATGATCATGAAAACTGTCTCTATTTACTTTTCCAAGCAGCTTTCGAGTGTTTTCCAGATAGGGATTATCTTATTGTGTCATTGCCCACGGATACGCAAATGTGTTACTTGAAGAAGCATTTCACAAGAGTGACGCCCAGGCCTAATTCGGTGTTTAATCACGAATTGTATGTTTTGCATAAGAATGCGATTTTGGGGGTTTTGTGGACAAGGGTGGCTGTGTCGGAGGATAAGCCGTTGGTTAGTGAATTGGTAGCAACGTTGAGCAAGCCGTCGATTGTCGAAGAGTTGTTTAAGGAAGCTGTGGATAATAGGGCGAGTCCGTTTAAGGCCTACACGTTCTTGTGTGAAGAGCAGATCATTGGATGTGCGAGTATGTTGATTTTTATGTATAAACTAAACTAGAAACGGTGGTTAAATCTACATACTAGGAGACGAAACGAGATACAAAATTGCTCGACTTTTTGGATCTAAAAAAAGTAGTACGGCGGACTAAAAATGAGGGCGCTTAAATCGTTTTGAATTAATTTAAATTCAACCAGTCTACTAATTGCTTGAAAAAAAATGCAAAAATGTCGAGCTTTACATTCTTAATAAGCTGTGAAAAACAAACGACTAAATTTTTCACGAGAAATATGAGAAAAAAATATTTAAAATTTGAAATCTGTGCTCCGTTTCATGTTTTTCAAAATGTTGCGAATACGGTTGAAGATACAAGAAAAATGTAACAAAGAAAGTTGTAGAGAATAAAATTTTCTAGTAAAAAGTCCGCGAGACCATAGCTCTATCTTTAATGGTTTGGGCCTCAAAGACGTTCAAAGCGTTCAAGCGACGGATTCGTTTCATTTTTACTGGTGATTCAGTGCCAGAGGAAGACTTTAAAGCAATTTAAATCTAAACCGTAGAAGATGGTCTTGCGGACTTTTTTGTAGCTAATTATATTCTCTACAATTTTGTTTGTTACAGTTTTTTTGTATTTTTAACGATATTCGCAGCGTTCTAAAAATATTAGACAGAACGCAAAATGATCATTTTTAATTTATTTTTAATACTGTTTTCGGTATTTTTGAGAACGCTGCGCATACGGTTGAAGATATAAAAAAGTGTAGGGAACAAAGTTGTAGAGAAATAAATTTCCTACAAAAAAGTCCCCGAGACTATACATATAGTTCAGTCAGTAAAGGTTAAAAAAGGCCTTTGCCTTACAAAAGGTGGGGTAGTAGTAAATTTTTAATATGTTAAGATCTAAGCCTTGACAAAAAATCTACGTTTTCGACATTGGAGGAGGACCGCTCGAGCCGCCATCTTGGATGAAAGGTACGAAAAATTGTTTTTTCCAAATTAACTCCAAAGCGGTTGATTCTACGACAAAAGTGTTCAGATAAAAGGTAAAGAAGACAAAATTCCTCACATTTTCTATATCAACATTATTTTTGTAAGTCTAATATGTAACGAGTTACAGCGGCGGAAAGATGAAAATTTTTCCCAGAAAAATAGTTAACCCCCCCATTTCGACGGTGAATTTCGTAAGAACAAACTACACTTGTTTTTAATGTTTTTATACAGCGATTATCTATTTCAAATTACACAGATTTTTCTTGTTACATATAGGGTTATTCATAAATATGAAGCAATATTTGAACCTCAAAAATGACCTATAAAACGATGTTAATTTAATTAATAACTCGTGTCCTATCTCTACTGATAATAATTTTTCAGCCCTCGGAACGTGGGTATGGAAATTTGTGTTTTTTTTTTTGTAATAACTTCGGAACCATTTGACCAAATATACAGAGTGGTCCAGAAGTCTGGAAACGCTTATTTTCTAACAAAACTATCAATTTCTTGGCAAAAAAAATATAGGCTATTAATGACTATAAAATTGCTATTCCAATAAAATTGAATATGAATTGTTTATACTTACGAGATAAACATACTAACATTTTTTCTTAAATGGGAACCTACTACAACGAGCTTGTTACAAGAATTGTTGCTGTGCAAAACTTTTTTTTGTAAACCTAACACTTTTTGTTAAAAAAAATGTTTGACTTACAAGTATTAAAGAATTTTTTTTAATAAACTACCCGTTTTTTTTTTTATAAATAAATTAATGAATGTTTAAAGGTTGTAAAAAAGCGATGCCAAAATATTTTTTATTTTAATTCCTAATTGCTTAAACGTACCACCCCATGGCAGGTGGAAGAAAGTTTTAACAACAGATAAAGTTTATAATTTTTTAACATAAATTGTAACAGTTTTTTAATAAATATTTTTGTACATTTATGTATATTTATGCATTATATATTTGTAAAACAATAAATAAAAAGCCGTTTTATTTAAGAACAAAATATTAATAGTATAGTAATATCAAAAGTTATCTTTTTTTCTTAAACTGTCTAATTTTTAACTTGAACTGAAATTTTTAATCAGAAATTTGTGATTTGAGGAAAATATGCACAAATATGCAATATTTCCTAAAATATGCACGAAGTTGCCAAAAAATGCAAAATATGTATGCATTTTTTAATTGGCCTATTTTAATCAAAAAACATCAGATCTGCATAGAAAACTTATAATTATGTTGATATAATTCTTAATAACAAATATGCATTTTACATATAATCCGAGCCTTATTGATGAGTAACCCTATATGTAACAAGAAAAATCTGTGTAATTTAAAATTGATAGTGCTGTACAATCTTATTGTAGTGCGGAAAACATTAAAAACAAGTGTAATTTGTTCTTACAAAATTTACCGTCGAAAATAGAGAGTTTTACTATTTTTTGGGTAAAATGTTCATATTTCCGACGCTGTAACTCGTTAGACTTACAAAAAAATGTTGATACAACAAATGTAAAGACTTTTGTCTTCTTTATCTTTTATCTAAACACTTTTGCCATAGAATCAACCACTGCGGAGTTATTCTGGAAAAACCTATTTTTCGTACCTTTCATCCAAAATGGCGGTTCGAGCGGTCCTACTCCAAGGTCTAGGCTTTAACAACATATTAAAAAATTACTACTACCCCACCTTTTGTAGGGCAAAACTCCGTACTAACTGGACTAATATCTCTATCTTCAACTGTTTAGGTTTAAATTAATTTTCTGTCTCTTGACCACCGGTAAAAATAACACGTATTCGTCACTTGAGCGTCTTTAGGACCTAAACCACTGAAGATAGAGATTGAGAGATCTCAAGTACTTTTTACTTGAAAATTTTATTCTCTACAACTTTCTTTTTTATATTTTTCTCGTATGTATTTTAACCGTATCCGCAGCATTTTCAAAATTAAGAGACGAGGCGCAAATTGCTACATGTTTGAAATTTGTTTAAATATAGTTTTCAATAAAATTTTTGCATTACCTTTATCTCTTATTATAGAGAATTTAATGCTCTATCTGTCTATATTATTTTTATTTGCGTTCTGCTCATCGTTATGTAAATACAGCCATTTTTTTATTTCATTGCTCTTAAAACTTAAACAGGAAAAGAACAACTACGCTATCTGGCCTCACTAACGGAACAATTGAGAACAGGGACGTTTTGTTTTTACATTGTGTTGTATCCTAGTCTCTAGGTATCCGTAGTTAAATCCCATCAGATTTGAAAATGTTTGATAGAAATTATACCTAATTCTCAAATGTTTTGTCGAAATTATTGGAGGCTCGCGGCAGAGCCGTTCGCCCCCGTGTAAAACTCACACTATAGGTATCGCAAATACAGGGTGCGCTAGAACTCGCGCCCCAGAAAAAAATGTCGTGTAAAGTAAGATATCAGGAACATGGAAAAAAAATGTTGAAAAAAATCTATCTACACTGGCGGACACAGAATTTTTGACATTAAATTTGACATGACAGTTCAAAAAGTGTCAATGTAATTATGATTGACGTTTGAAACTAAAATTTGAAAGTCTTAGTTGAAATTTATTTTTGGCGTCGATTTTCCGAAACAATAACGTGTTTTTACGAGTATATAAGATCAATAAATTATTTTGATTTGTAGTCACTTTTTCTTTCGCTCTCAGGATAAAAATTACAAAAACCGAAAGTGAGGTTAGTTGCCTAAGGCTCGTTTTACAGTTTTATGTCAGTCGAATGACAAATCGTCCGTGTCCGCCAGTTCGTTATGAGAGTTTAAATTTTGCAGTTTAATTCTACTTATTTCTGGACAGATAACATTTTTTAAACATTTTTTTATCTTCCTGATATCTTATTTTACTTGAAACTGTACTGTAAGAATATTTTTAGGTTTAAGCCATGTTTTTTACTTTTTGGTTTAAGCCAAAATTTTCCCCAAGCCCCCTTAACTCCTATCCTTCCAGTCGTCAGCGAAGAAGAGGAACACGAATACCTCGAGCTCCACTACAACGTCGACCCCTGGTTAAACCCCAAAGAAACCCGATTTGGGACCTGCGGCTGTCTTGAACAATTCCTCCTATCTCCTGTGTTTCAATGCCACATTAACTTCTTCACTCGCGAACTGCACCGTTTGAGCGGTTTTGACGTCCTTTTTTACCGATTGAAACGCTATGATTACATGTATAGTCATCGGAGTCTCCCTATTGTCAACGCCATCGTAAACATGATCCCAGTACTCCCTAATAGAGTCCCTGAATATAGCAAACAAATCACAGACGAGTTCATGCTTCCTCTATGTTTGCAAAAACACCACCAACCTTTCGGACTTTATCTGTCATCAATACGTTTAAGCAGCATGCCCAAAATCGAAATCAATCAGAAATTGGTGATCGTGGGAGCCGGACTTACGACTATATCCTTTCTAGAGTCATTGATTTTTGGCCAAAATCCCAACTTTTTGATAGTTTTTACAAATATCACAGTCGTGAGTCCACATGGAGTGACCTATCATAAGCCTCCAAGCCAAATAAGAGAGATGGTTTTCGTGAGTGATGGTCACGTGGATCGAAAATATATCGATGCGATTTCCTTAAAGACTTACGTACATGTTGTGACAGGAGTCATGACTTCTATTAACAGGAAAGAGAAGTATGTAGGTTTGAACGATGAGTCGTACCTCCCCTACGATTACCTCTTCCTTATATGTGGCGAGCAATACCAGAAACCACCACTGAAGAAAAAAGAAATCGGGAAGAAGAGAACTGAGTTTCCACAGAACGTCTTCATAATTAATACTGAAGCTGACGCTGGGAATGCTTTCAATGCGTTGAAAAGTCTCACTTCTGGTCAAAAACAGGGAAATATGGTGGTGTTTGGGCACTATTTGGAGGCTTGCTGTTGTTTGGCTGCGTTACTAGAATTCGGAGTTGCTGGAAGTAATCTTGTTTATATCGATCCAAGTCCGGATAGTTCCTTAAGACAGGACCGACACGAGCATTTGACTCAGTTTTTCAACGATAGTGCGGTAGAAACGGCAGTATTAGACGAGATTCTCTACCAAGGAATCACAATCTACCAAGACTTCAACTTCGTTGAGTGGCATCTAGACTCGACTAAAAACTTTGTAATTTCGGCGAAATTCGAAAGCAAGTACAAGTTTGTCGAAATTGAACTTTCTGCACTTTTCATCTATCATTCGAAAGGTGTGAGTGCTCGCACTTTCCAGGCTATAGCTCGTAGTGGGCTTGTGTTTAATGGCCGTTTGGTCATTGATAAGGACTACCAGACTAATGATCCGTCCATTTATGGGGCCGGACCCTTGACCATGTACTCAAAAAAGTACTACGCGGAACATTTGAGTCACAAGTACTACAATTCGAGGGAAATCGGTTATAATTTAGGTTCAGCGATTCGGAAAAAATTAGTACCGGAGCAATTTTGGGATCCTCCGGTTAAAGAAACACTGCTTCACCAACCGGTGATACAGATTTGTAGATTCCCAGGGAATTTGTATTATTTAAACGTGTTTAAAGCCGGTCGACCGGTACCACTAGATGTGGCTACCAACAAGTGCAATTATGTAAGATCTGACATACAGAGTTATTCATAAATATGAAGCAATATTTGAACCTCAAAAATGACCTATAAAATGATGTTAATTTAAATAATAACTCGTGTCCTATCTCTACTGATAAGAATTTTACAGCCCTCGGAATGTGGGTATGGAAATTTGATTTTTTTGTAATAACTTTGGAACTATTTGACCAAATATTATAAAATTTGGAACATTTGCCTGTGACAACGTACCCTTTGAACTGGTAATTACGAAAACCGGATACATCCACTCAATTTCCGGTTCCAGCAGTTGCAGGTCACATTTTCTGTGTTTTTCCATTTTTTGCTCTCTTAACACCCATTTTTTATTAACCAAATCAATAGAGTAATCAATTTCGATTAAAAAACGCATAACCTTTAATACCCCTAAAATGGACCGTTTCAAAGATATTTTAATTTAAACTGAGGACTGCACAACGCTGAAATAAAAAAATAAGGATTTTTGAATAAGTGGTATCCACGGCAACCAATGACCATGGTCACATAAATCCCTGCCAGGCATCTGTTAACTTTGACAATAAATTTTTGTGAATTTTTTATGAATTAAATGCTACGAGATCCATTTGAATTTATTCTAAGTTATGTTTGGAATCTGAGGTAGACTCTTTTATTAAATATTTTCGATTAATTGTCAAATAATCGTCCAATGTCAAAGTTGGCAGATGCCTGACAGCGATTAGTGAGGCCATGGTCATTTGTTACCGTGGATATCATCCATTCAAAATCCCTACTTTTTGGTTTCAGCGTTGTGCAGTCCTCAGTTTAAATTAAAATATCTTTGAAACGGTCCATTTTAGGGGTATTAAAGGTTATGCGTTTTTTAATCGAAATTGATTACTCTATCGATTTGGGCAATAAAAAATTGGTGTTAAGAGAGCAAAAAAATGGAAAAACCCAGAAAATGTGACCTGCAACTGCTGGAACCGGAAATTGAGTGGATATATCCGGTTTTCGTGATTACCAGTTTAAAGGGTATGTTGTCACAGGGAAATGTTCCAAATTTTATAATATTTGGTCAAATAGTTCCAAAGTTATTACAAAAAAAACAAATTTCCATACCCACATTCCGAGGGCTGTAAAATTCTTATCAGTAGAGATAGAACACGAGTTATTATTTAAATTAACATCATTTTATAGGTCATTTTTGAGGATCAAATATTGCTTCATATTTATGAATAACCCTGTATGACCAGTGTTGAGTCTAAAGTTGTTTTAGGGTCGAGTTTTGAAAACCGGCGATTGTAAAAAATTGGATAAACAAGGGTATTTCCGACTCCACTTGAACCAGTTTCAAACCGTTGAAACCATTACTTGTTTGGCCAAATTTGTGAGTCACGATTTGTGAAACTTTGATCCAATTTCCAGTTTCAGGAGTTGAAAGTGCACAATTTGATCAATTTATGGGGCAAACATGAGATACTCCTCAATCACCTCTTGTTGAGGTACGACTTGGGGATGATTAACGACATGTTTGAGTTTTTCGACGAGCCTTGGGCTTGTGCTATTTATCACAGAAACTTTCCAAAGGTCATCGATGAAATCTCGGAGTTGTTACTCACGGCAGAGACCAACGAAGGGGTGAAACTTGTTGACGAAGTCCGGTCACAGTTGGAGAAAAATGACTGGAATCCGGTAAGCAGCATTTCGATTGGACTTAGTCCAATTTTCGGTTCCAGCTAACGAAGATTCAAACCGACGAAATTGAAGAAATGTGTCGTGATACGAATCTGATTCCTTTAATTGAGAAGAAGATTTTGGACTTTTTGCATGATAATTTCATGTATTTGCCCATGTATGTGCACCAGTTGTTGATAAGGTGGATTTTGCATCAAATTCAGACGAGTCCCTTGTTCGTCAAGACGACTTTCCTTGCGCATACTAGGAAGAGTCTTTCGCCGGGGATTCCCTTCTTGACAAGGCCCACACAGTCAAGGAATTGAATAAATTATGATAGAGTAGAGAGTTGTTGTTTTTTGCGTTTTTGGGAAAACCAAGAGAATTCAGGGGTCAAATCGGGCATTGATAAAGTGTGATTTTTTCTGAGACTAAATTAAGTTGTTTTGACACATTTTCTAGTTATTCTGTAGACATTTAAAATAACACTTGGGATTGTCACATTTTTTGTTTTGTAAATTCTGAAAGTTTTTGTCTAAAAACATGTTTTATACAGGGTATTCCGTCTAAACCCCACATAAAAAGTATTGGGAGGGAGTTCGAATAATCATATATGTTTGAAAATTGATACATAGCCATAATGCATAATGTCCTCCTAAATGAAAATATATTCAAGATGGCGACACTTCCGGTTATACCGGAAGTCGGTCTCAACTTTCTTATTTTAAATGGAAAGCTATATTTTTTACTGTGCTTTTGTCACTGTCGACGTTTATTGAGAAACAATTTTGACATTTTTGATTTCCATAGCAAACTATGTGAAAACGGGTGTGGCTAGTAATAAATTTTCTGTAGTCTTAAAAAAAAGTCCATAACTTGAAAATTATTAAATTTAGGTATAGGGAATGTTAATACAGATCAATGCACAATTAAATTCTCTTGTATATAGTAAAATAAAAATTGGGGTATTTCATTTGAAAAAATTGTGTTGAGTATTTGAATTATTATAAAAGTAACCTTAAAATTTTGGGATATGTTTTTTTTTCAAAATTTGAAAACACCAGAAAACGATCTAAGCTTTCTCTGTCAAACGAAAAAAAACGAATTCAAAATCTTAAATAATGGCAGAGTTACCGATTTTTAAAGTGGAAGGTGCAGATCCAAAATTTTTTGAAAAACTCCAAATATTTCAAAAACGGCTAAATTTAGGTATAGGAAAAGCTGATGAAAACTCCCTTAAAATAACCCGATTAATCCAAAAACGCAGTAAAAATATACCTTCCCATTTAAAATAAGAAAGTTGAGACCGACTTCCGGTATAACCGGAAGTATCGCCATCTTGAAAATATTTTCATTTAGGAGGATTTAATAGTTTATGGCTATGTACGAATTTTCAAATAAATACGATATTCCAACTCCCAATACTTCTAATGTGGGGTTTAGACGGAACAGCCCTGTATAGAATTACATTGTTGGGGATTCCCTTCTTGACAAGGCCTACACAGTCGAAGAATTGAATAAATAAAATATGATAGAGTAGATAGTTGTTGTTACTTGCGTTCTTGGGAGAACCAAGAGAATTCAATAGGGGTTAAATCGGGCAACTAGGTATCTTGCGTTAATAAAATATGATTTTTTATGATTTTCTGAGATTAAATGAAGTTTTGACACATTTTCTAGTTATTCTGTAAAAATTTAAAATAACACTTGGGATTGTGACATTTTTTGGTTTGGGAATTCTGAAAGTTTTTGTCTAAAAAACACGTTTGATGTAAAATTCCAGAGTTGGGATTAAAGAGGCAAAGAAATGTAATGCAGTAAAAACCGATTAATTTTTTTCTACAGAATTCAGAATTGATGATACCAAGATTTTTCAATGGGATTCAGCTCGAGTCCGCTGTGTACATCAAACCTTTAAAATGCGTAACTTTCAAGATTTTTCAATGATGGTTTTGTCTAAACTAAAGCAAGTCAGGCTTATTATCTTACTTTTTTATAGATTTGTTGGATTTTCGCTGTGAAAAGTCTATAACTTGAGAACTAAGGAAAATCAATAGGAGTCAAATCGGGTTTGTTGAATACAACATACAAAAAATTTAATAGGATACAAGCTTTGCTTTTTTACGAGTAGAACAATTCAATAGGTCTCGGTTCAAGCCCACTTGGTGTTCTCCACAAAAAAAACAACATTTTTTTTTACATTTTATTTCAATTTTTGAAGACGAAATCAAGTCAATAGCCCCTACCTTTTCGCAATAATCCCTCTTCCTTATCTCGGAGACGATCCACGGCAACATCGGACTGGAAAACCTCCGGTCCATCGCCGTAAAACCGTAATAAGTCACCGGAATTAGCTTCATTTTCGCTACCTACGAAATCAGTCCATTCTTTCACAAACACACCAGCAGCACCGACACCACAATCGAGGTTAACGAAAACAATGCGCACGACGGAAGAAAATTCAATTGGTTTCAAGCATCCTCTTCGGTATTGATCCAGGAGGGACTTGAAGGAAGGAAAAAATCAATGTCACGTGCGCGTTTACACCGTTCAACGGTTTCAAAACAACTGACTCTCACCGGTATTACGAAATAATTAAACAAATAACGCAAAGTCAAGGACGCACACGACCGGTTTAGTGGTTTTTATCAAGACGGAAAAGTGATATATGTGTGTTGAGGGTTGTATAAGCCGTCAACAGGTGTCTGGAGGGCGTGGTCGGTCAAAAATGACCAATGGAAGGCCTGGAAACAGTCACGTGACGGCTATGATTGGTTGAAACGAAAAGTCAAAAGTCACGTGAGGAGTCAAGACGTTTTTTAAAAATAAAGAGCTTTAAATGAAATAAAATAAACTACAACTGATATTGTTTGTTCGAGTCACGGGTGTTTTTCCACATTAAACTCACCTCGACACACAAATTATTTAAATTACTCGAAACCACTCAAATTAAACGCTAAATTACCTCGAAATTGGTTCTTGGGACGCAAAACACGAATTAAGACGTTGAGATTCAAAAATTAAATGTAGTGATTTTGACTTGGTCACGTTGGTGGTGATCACCCAGCTACGTAACAATAAATATTTGGAACAAACTGTAAATTATATTCTTCAAAAGTTGTAAATTGGATTGTTATTCCTATTTCGCGCTGTTTTGTTCCTTTTTTACCCAAGAAATTGTGCAATAATTACTACCTTTTTATGGGTTGGTACCTTAATATCCCTAAAATCACGTGATTTTGACAGCTTTCAAGGCCATTTTTATTTACATGAAACGTGGTCAAAATTAATCGTTCAATATGGGTGAAAATCAAAGAATTTTGGTGACCGGGGGCTCAGGGCTTGTCGGGAAGGCCATTCAGACTGTTCTTGAGGATGAGAAAAAGCCTGACGAGACGTGGATTTTTGTTAATAGCAAAGATGCGAATTTATGGTAATGTTTTTAATTTGACGATTTTGGCCAAAATTGGGTTTTAGCGATTTAGAAGAGACTAAGAAATTGTTTGAGGAGCATAAACCGACCCATGTGATTCATCTAGCGGCAATGGTCGGGGGGCTATTTCATAATATGAGCCACAATTTGGATTTTTTGGTAATTTCTTATGTTTTGAAGCATCAAAGTGTGGTAAAAGGGGTTTTAGAGGAACAATTTACAAATGAATAGTAATGTTTTGGAAGTCAGTCACGCAACAGGAGTGAAAAAAGTGGTTTCTTGTTTGTCAACTTGCATCTTCCCTGACAAGACTACCTACCCTATTGATGAGACAATGGTGCCTCATCAGGACTCACTTACAATTTAGTGACATTTGGGTCATTTTAGATTCACAATGGGCCCCCACACCCCTCAAATTTTGGCTATAGTTATGCCAAACGCATGATAGACATCATGAACAAGGCATATCACGAACAACATGGTTGTCTTTTCACTTCGGTGGTCCCCTGTAACGTTTTTGGCCCCCATGATAACTACAATCTTGAGTCAAGTCACGTCATTCCTGGATTGATAAGGCGTCTACACGACGTGATGGAAGCCGGAGGCAAAACCTTCACGGTGCTAGGCACGGGGAAGCCCCTACGCCAGTTCATCTATTCTCTTGATTTGGCAAAACTGTTTCTCTGGGTTTTACGCGAATATAATGAAATTGAGCCGATTATTCTCTCAGGTTTGGGATTTTTGTAAAGTGAGATTATGTCGCTCATTTATGTTTTTTTGACTAGTTGATGAGGCTGCAGAGGTATCAATACGACAGTTGACTGAAGAATTAGCCAAAGCGTTCGATTTTAAAGGCGAAATTGTTTTTGATACGACGAAAGCAGATGGGCAGTATAAGAAAACAGCAAGTAATGCGAAACTGCGCAAATACCTCCCGGATTTTGAGTTTACACCGTTTCCGGTGGCCGTGAAAGACAGTGTTGATTGGTACCGAGCTAATTATAAGATTGCACGCAATTAATTTGGTTTTTGAAATATTTTAATTAAAAAGTTTAAAAATGAGATGTGACTTTAGCCACTTCCTTCCATCCGCCATGTTTTGATTGAAATGTCAATGCCATACAAAGATGGCTGCTTTTAAATAATCCAAAAAATGCGTTAAAATGTATCGCCGTTTCGTGTTTTTCTTAATTTTAAGTTTTTTTCATAGTTTAAGATGTAAGTAGTGTGTTTTGGGTGTTTGGTTTGCAAGACTTTGGCTCGAGATGTGAGGTTATGTTCCTGCGTTTTTAGGTAATCCAGGCGAACTCGCATTAAAAATAATCAAAAGTACTGAGGATTCCTACACTCCCGTCCTCTCGGCAGTCGTTGAGGAGAAAGCCGGTGCTAATTTTTCTCTACTCTGTGATTTAGTGTCTTTCAAAAGCAACAGTAACTACTACGATTTTCAATTATCATGGATTAAGCAATCGAACGACTTGAGGTGTCCTCAGCCCCCTCAAACTCCCTAAACTAACTATTTTTCTTATTAGATTCTGGCGCGAACATGACTCCTCTGACAGCAAGAAAATGTACTCAATCCTCAAACCCAGTGAAATGAACAAAGCAATCAAGCACTTCTACCCGCTCAAATCCGAAGACAGAGGCAAGTACTTTTGCGTCAGTCTCAAGTACAACTTGCACAAGAGCGTGGAGGTTGTGGTCCGCGACGACAAGCCCCCCAAAGAGCGGCCTTTTATCCAAGAAACGATTTTTTGTAGCGAGCAGATGTTTCAATGTGCAAATGGTTTTTGTATTTTTTATCATTACGCCTGCGACGGCAGACCCGACTGCACCGACGGCTCGGACGAAAGCGATGAGGTTTGCCACGGGGACCCCTGCAAAGACAAGCTGCAATGCGACGACGGCCGCTGCATACCGACAAGTTGGTGTTGTGACAGGCATCACGACCCCAACTGTACGGTGACGAACAGGCCGAAATGTTGCCAGGTTTTGTCAGATTGTGAGTGTTTCCATACAATTTGCGGGGTCTTTAATTGATTTATTCTCTAGCTTATGAGGAATTGGAATATGGGTCGGCTTCAGTGACGCAGAGCCATAATGGGGCCCGTTATCTTTTTATAACGATATGTAAGTAACAAGCGTTTCAAGGCGAAAAAAAATTTACACAACACTGGACTAGTTTCAAGGTCCGCGATTGTGTATTGAAAACAATGATTTCAACAGGAATTTAAATTGGTTTGTTTGAAACAAACTGTTAAAAGCTGTTTACATAAGTGGCTTATCTTTTAGGCATTTTTATCGGCGCATTTTTAATATTTTGATATTTTTTATGATTGGACTGGTTTTAATTGGTTATTATGTTTTATGTTGTTTTTACAAAAAAATATATTTATACTAGAGAGCAAATGCTTGAAGGAAATTCTAAAAAAGTAATATATTTAAATTTCGCGCTTTTACGTAGGTAAAATGGCCGCCAATTGCACGCCATCTATATGACAATTAACCCAGTTAAGTAAATTAAAATTAAAAAAATTTGTTAATATTTCAAGTGACAACTAGTGATCAGTGGTAAAATAAATGTTCAATGACAAGTAAAATTATACATAATGCATATTTTAGAAAGAGATGGCAGCTTCCTATGTAGATGTTTTATGAAACAGAGAGCATGAAAGGTAGGCTTTAATTTTAGTTATTTTTAGGAAACGACAAAGATAAAACGTAATAAAAAGAGAGAAAGGGATAGATATAGGTTTGCAAATGGGTAAACAAATGATTTCGATGGGTTGAAATGAGATAAATTATAATTATTTGTACGTTTTGTCTCTTTCTGTCACTTATAGTGAGTTATGATGACTTTGATTAAAAAAATTAATGGCCTAATTTATATTCATCTTTAGGAAAGACATAAACACAATAAAATCAAAATGGATTCAAATTTGCCGCTTTTATTTTGACAAAATGTCTGACTTCTGACTGCAATGCCATCTGTGGGATAATGAAAAAGTCAGATTTTGAGTTAATTTTTTTGAAATAATTTTTTTTCTAGTTTCATTGTTTATTAAGATAAGAGTTTTATAGACAGTTTAAATATCGAAGTCGTATACCGAAATTTTTAACTATAAAACTTTGTCTTCAACATTTTTCCCAACACTAACATTGGATCAGGAATTTCACTAAATTCAGAAATTGTTATAAAGAAATTTGCCAAAATTGGTAAAATGTCAAGATAAGTGTACACATGTGTACATGTGAGATACGATGTGATTGTATTTATGGAAGAGTGTATACAGGGTGTTAAAAAAGATTGTAAAATATTTTAGAAAGTATACTCGTTTTCATATTAATGTGCATCGAAGTGGTCGTTGAAGGGGATCATTTTAAGGTGGCAATCATGCGAAAATTTAAACAATCCTAAACTCAGTCAAATAAATGTAGCAAAAAATAGTTAAAATTAACAACGTAATCAACATCGGATAGGAAACAAAGATTTTTTTAATTATTGATGTGATTAAATTTGTTTTGAATGACATTAATGACACTTTTTGTGTAAATCGGACTTTAAATTAAAGATACATTTAGACTTCTACAACCTACTTGATGCACATTAATATGAAAAAGAGTATAGTATAGTAGTATGAAATATTTTAATTTTTTTTTAACATCTTGTATTTTCCAATCTTTTTTTTAACACCTATATTTTGTTGTACAGGGTGTAACGAAAAGATGGGGACAAAGAATAATCCGAGATTTCTCAGATCAAAATAAAGTGATTTAACCGTACTTATGTCTATACCATGTTGTACCGTTTAAAAGTTAGAAGACGCTAATGAAATTATGTATTTTTTTTGTTTAAATTAGTAATTAATTTCATTATTTTAACTAACTCAAACATACATAAGGACACTAAAACCTAAAATTTCTTTAATACAATTTTAACAACGTTAATAATAAAATCTAAAATTTTAACTTATCTACTTACATTATTTTTTTACTCTTTAAACTAAGGCCCATACAAAACTTTTATAAGATAGGAAAATTGTTTAAAAGTAATGTATTTTTTGAATAAAAAAGGAAATACGCCACTCGGGTTACGTATGGCTTAAAATGTGTCAAATTGTTATAAGTAAGTACTTTACAATTATAATAAAATACAGGGTGGGCCAGAACCCGCCCCCAGAGAAAAATGCCATATAAGGTAAGATACCAGGAACATGGAAAAGATGTTAATAAGAATTTTATCTATAAAAATTTCGAAGTTATGAGGATTTAAAGTTTGCACTTTGACTCTATTTGTTTCTGTTAGAAAAATAATTTTACAGTTTTTTTGCTATAGGCTATTAAAAGAGGAAACAAGGAAGCTGTATCTTAAATTGTAACTCTGTTCAATGTTATTTGTGGCTTTTATTGGCAAAATTTTTGTCCCTTTACTAAATAATTGTAAATAAACATATACAAGATCATCAGTAACATTAAATAGATATAAAAAAATGTCAAATGTCAAAAAATTTGTCAAAATTTTGGTATTTTTTTTTGAAAAACTGAGCTATAAAATACCCCGAAAAGTAACTATTTCTGACGTAAAATCGTCCGAGGATTAAGAAGGTGTAATTAGTTTTTTTCTAGGATGAGTTGAGTTGAGATATAAAAAAATGTCAAATGTCAAAAAATAAATGTCAAAAGTTTTTGACAGATAGAATTTTTTAAACATTTTTTTCATGTTCCTGGTATCTTACCTTACTTGACTTACTGGGGCGCGAGTTCTGGCGCAGCCTGTATAAGAAATAGAACCAAAACATGTCAAATTGCCTCTACCAAATTTCTTAAATATCAATTAATCCATTAAAATGAAAAAGGAAAATAATTTTTAAACTTTGGCTCCCTCTAACTTGGTATAGGGGTAAGTTGAGTTAAATCGCTTTTTTTGACCTGGTGAATCCCCCATCTTTTTGTTACACCCTGTAACAACATAGGTAGATAATTTCATTGAGAGAGTTTGAATTTTTCAGGTACCCTTTGCATCCTCTTCGTCATTTTGCTCTTCCTGGTGCTCGCCTCTCGTGTGGTTCTCATGGCCCGCAAGACCGACATCGATCATTCTAGCGTCAATCAATCGAACATCGAAAGCATCAGTTTACATAATCAGACAGCTCTCCTATCTTGTGATGTTTTTACATATCAGAATAATTCGCGATTACCGCCTTCTAATAATCATATCGTTGACAATTGTGATGTTTCCGATCCCTTGTTGTTCAGTGAGGAGGATCAACCACCGTCGTACATCGACGTTATTCGTGCTCAAAATTCCGGATTGAACTTAAACGAACCACCACCACCTTATACCAGCAGAGAGGTGTTGAACGTTCCAGATGATAAAAGCGAAACAGAGAATTGATCACACATTCCTCGTCTCTGGTGTTTTTCTTGTTGATATTACCGTCTTTCCGTTTTCGTAATCTCCGGTTTTCCATCCTGATTATCCTAAGTATTTTTTGTCATTGAAGTATTTTTGTGTTTGTACTATATTTTAATCCATGTAAATAGGAAGACTACGTTGGTAGTATTAGGAAGCGATTACTATCGAAGCGACAATACTAGACTGTATTTTTAATTAGTACAAACTGATTTTAATCAAAATTATATATTTTAGTAAATAAAAAAGTGAAGGAAAAAGTTTTGTTTTCATGACCTGCCTTTTTTTAAATCCGGTAATTAGCTTTCAAAGGATTAAACTGGAGTGCTCTTTTCATAAATTTAATCAAAAGAAATGCTTTCAACAAAATTTTATTTCAGAATTAATTTATACGAGTTGGGAAAAAAGTGATGTATGGGCCTCACCAGTACACAAATTCTTCGTTGCGTGTCTGCGAACATTATTTTAAAAGTCGGATTCCGTCTTGAATATTTTATTTTCTTGTGTAACTTTAGAAATTTGTTTTTGTGTGACAGGAGTCGTATTTTGTTTATGTCACTGAGTCAAGGTTGTGATTTATACTATATTCAATATTCACTAGAAACTATACTATAGTTGTTGACAACATGGTTGTAACCTTGACTTAATTATTTTCTCTAAATTTTGCTTTCTATTGGACCAAATAACGATGTCGCTTCTCCCGAGTCTAAATTTATTCTCCACTGACCTCTTCCAGTTGAAAGTTAAATTAATAGGGACAGAAGGGTAGCAACGAGCGAAAAAAATGCCGTTTGGGGATTAAATCAAGAGAGATATTTAGATACGGAAAAATGAATGAAGCGGCAAATTATAATTAATTTTTTTCGGTCTTCGTTTTCGTTTATTAAAGAGTAATTCCATACCAAAACGATCACTTTTAAATCCCATTGTTTCCGATTTTCGTAAATTTGAGATACAGGGCGTTCCAGCGAGTTGAAAAAGTCCATTAGTGACCTTTAAATGGTAAAATTTAAAAAAATTGTATAGGACATTGATTGATACTAATTTAGTGCATCACCTAAAATTATTTTCAACCATATAGCATGTCCCAAAAATAAGCTACAATACAAACTTGTGTTTTTTTAAATGAAACACCGTATATGTTTCTTGGCATTTTTGGATGTAGCCTTTTAAAACAATGTTTTTACGCTAAACTTTTATTAGTCGATTTCGCTTAGTTTTAGAGATAAGACGGTTTTTTGTCGAAAACATGCACTTTTAAAAAATTTATTACACAAAAACTAAAATAGCTAGAACAATTTTTATCTCACTTCTGCAAAGAAGAAAGTACAGAATTTAAAGCTGTAGCAATTTTTTAGTGTTTTGCATTTGTAAAAATTTATAAATTAAGAAGTTTATTAAAAGTTAAATAACTTAAAAATTTTGATGGAACACCCTATTTTTTATTTTTGTATCTAATAGATTGATAAATTGTCTATCTAAAAAAATAAACTTTTAATGTCTAGCATTGATTAATGAAAAGATATTTAACATTCAATATTAATTGTAGCGACAATGCCTATTAATATCTGAGCATTGTTAATACCATGGCAATCATAGTAATTCCAGCACGGATCACTTATCCGTTGATTTATCCAGAGATTGTAAAAGTCGTTATAAATACTGAAATTCGAATTATTTTATTGTAAAAATAAAGAATAATGAATTGTTTAACACAAATGTGATTATTAAGTGATATTTCTTTCATCTCTTGTGCAGCTGTGCACTTTTTGGCTACTGAAACAATAGTAATTTTTTTTTTTAGCGTTAAATATCTTTTTAGTTTAGTTAGAAAGACAATTTAATAATCTTTTAAATGCAAAAATAATAAATAGGGTGTTCCATTTAAATTTTTTAAGTTATAGAACTTTTAAGAAACGGCTTCTTTTTTTTGTCTTTACAAATGCAACACACAAAAAAATGTTACAACCTTATAGCTTGTACCTTCTTCTTTGCGGTAGGAAAAAAATATTTCGAGATGTTCGAAAGCCGTCTTATTTTCAAAACTAATCAAAATCGAGTAATAAAAGTTTACCTTAAAAACATTGTCCTAAAAATCTACATCCAGAAACGCTAAGGAACATACAGGGTGAATATAAAGTATGGAACCAAGCAGTTTTATTTTTAATCATTTGCCTCCAGAAAATTATAATTAAGTAATATAAATTAAAGTAATATAAAAAATGTGATCGTATTTTCATAGCGAAATTTTGTTTTGTTTTTGAGTTATGCGATTTTTTTTGTCAAAATTGCAACTTATGTGAAAAAATTTTTTTGAAAAAATTAAATATAAAGCAGATAGTTGTAATCCTTAGAGTATAGCTTTTATGAGAAAAATGATTTTATAGTGGGTTGCCATTTATTATTTTTATTTTTTTTTTGTAGAACAAAAGGAAATTTTGAAAAATTTTATTCTTGTTAAATCATCACATTTTTATAGTACTTTATCACTCATCAATTAGTTTTTTCAAAAAATAAATAGTTTAAGGAAAAAACGTTTGGTTGCATACTTTTTATTCACCTGGTATAAAAAAAACTCAAGTTAGTATTTAACTTATTTTTGAGACATAATGTCCTATCTAATTTTTTTAAATTTTTACAATTTAAAGGTCACTAATGGACTTTTTCAACTTGCTGGGACATCCTGTATCTTATAAAACACTTAAAAGTAGGTGATACGTATTTTCCCCTTTTTTATTTTAAAAAAATTCTATCTATAAAAATTTCGAAGTTATAAGAGTTTAAATTTTGCACTTTGACTCTATTTATTTCTATTGGAAAAATAGTTTTCCAAGTTTTTTTGCTACAGACTATTACGAGAGGAAACCAGGAAGCTGTATCCTAAATTGTAACTCTGTTTAATGTTGTATGTGGCTTTTATTAGCAAAATTTTTGTGCCTTTACTAAATAATTGTAAAAAAATATATACAAGATCATCAGTATCATTACATAGACATAAAAAATGTCGAATGTCAAATTTTTTTGACAGATAAAATTTTTTAACAGTGTTTTCATGTTTCTGATATCGTATCTTACTTGAAATACATCCTGTGAAAAAACAGGGATGTACAAAATTAAGTACCTCAAAGTAAAAAAAGAACAAATCAACACATTGAAATGATTTTTTTTCAACAACAGCTATAAATATCTACTCTACGGACGTGGTAATGTATGGCATCCAAAAGCTTGTTATTAACAAATAATTTAAAAATATATCGTTTAAACAAAAAAGTTAACACTTAGTTACGCAGGTTTTTAAAATTCTCAAAAACTTATGTACAGTCGCGGCCCTTGAAAACTAAGACATTCACTATTAGTATACTATTTGCTATTTTAAAAATTGGTAAAGTGTAAATTCGGTTTTTATCTAGGATGACAATGTCAATTTCAATTTTTCGGTTTTGGATGGTACTGCAATAAAATATTAGTTTTCTGTCTACAAACTTGAAGTTCATTGTTTTGAAGTAAAGTTTTCTATTCTACGACACCGACTCGTAATTATTTGAATGACATTTTGGAATCTTCAGTTTCAGGCCATTTTACAATGCAAAATTTTGGATTTGTCAAATTGTGTTAGTTTTCAACGGCCGCGACTGTACAAACTCTCAGATTTTTGCTATGTCCACACACAAGTTTGAAGAGGGACATTTTAAAAATGGCTGAAAAAATTTTTTTTGGTTCGAAAAACCACCCGAGTGAATCAAAAAATACAACTTAAAGTAAAAACTTTTATAAACTGTATATTATTAATGGATTTTCAAATTCTATGATTTATTTAACTTACAAAATACGTTTATTTATAATTAGGAAATAAAATACTAATAAAGTTCTCATTTTGTTTATCTATCATAAATATCAAATTATACGCAATAATTTAATAGAGCGTCCATTTGTACATGACAACAACAGCGTATTGCTTTAATTATCGTGGCTTAATATAATAACACATGTAGGTGTATGTTGTAATGAATCACAAATGATATATTCGTCCATCTAGCTCATAGTTAACCAATTATAAAATGTATTACTAGTGTTATCTAATTGTATCTCTTGGGGGTGAAATCCATGCAAAATCGGTTAAAACCGTCAATTGTACAATTATTTCCGAAGGTAGTGTCCCCGAGGACTGCATTTTTGCAAATGACTGTACAAGGTGCTGCATTTTGGATGTTTAAATTGGGAATCTCCGAAACTAAGATGTTTAGCCAAAAACGAGTGATACATTCTGGGGCTCATTTTTTGAGAAAATAATATTTATTAAAACTACATCCCGCTATTGTCTTTTGTTTTCGACTTACAGACAAAAGTTGACATTTTGGCGAAATCTAAAAAAAATCATATCTTCGTTATTATAGAAGATACGGATTTGAAATGAAAACATTATAGAGGCACTTTTTTACGAGGAATTTAATAATGTAGTTAATATTTTTTTCAGTCATTAGTTTAGCCGTAATAAGATAAACTTGTATTTTTTTAAATGGAAATCATAGGCGGCTTTGGCAATTTTGAAAAGCTTATTTTTTTTCTGATCTAAAAAATATATATTTGTAACAGAACATTTTTTATAATTAGGCATACTTAAAAAATGAAATACATATTTTGTTTGATAATAGTTGGCCATGGAAAAAATATTTCACTCCAAATGTGTAAGTAATAGTCAATAAGAGTTTTGTGAACCGTAAAATAGATGAAAAAATAGATAAAATTAGAAAAATTTTAAAAATACGATACGTTAGAAGTATTGAACAAATATGCGAGTGCTTCAGAACAAAATTATTACATATTTTTAAAAAATCCAAAAATAATAATAAACAAATGTGTCAACAGTCAACACAATTAGAAAAAACATTTTTTTGATGATCTAATGGAGGTAAGATAACGTTTCACATAGACGGAATTTGGGTATTTGAATAGCCATCTCGTCATTTTTGTGTCATATAAAATATATTTTATTGAAGAATTAAAGCGGCTTTTTTTACAACACTCTATGTATTAGTAGAAGTTGCAATAGTAATGTTAGCTTGTTTAAAAACAAAGAAATGTCATTAGTCGCCAATAAGTTGATTTACGATTTATTTTGCATTTTTTTCATTACTTAGTGCTTAGAAAACTCTTTCATTAGTGACACTGGTTGAATAATATAGTTTAAATCCTTTTAGTTGAAGATGCAACATTTTTTCATGGCCAACTGCGAACAAAAATCAAAGATAATTTTTTGCTA